ATATTTACTAAGTGCCCCCTGTGTGACAGGCAGGGGCTAAGCTGGGTGCTGGGGAGGGCTGATGGCTAAGGTAGACCTGGTCTCTGCCCCCACGGAGCTCTCTGGCTGGCAGACAGGAGGTCAGTAACGCTCCACGCTTGGATGATCACAGCGGGCACTGAAGGTGTGGACTTGAGCATTTATTGCCACGGTTCCCATAATACGTGCTTGCAGCAGATGTCTGTGCCCTGAATGCGGTCCTCAGTTTCCTGGGAAACAAAATGGTGCCTCAGGATAGTGGCCTCTGGCATTGAGTGTAGCAATGGGGGAAACTCTTCCAGAAATCAGTCCACGCTTAGAGATGGAGATTGTCAAGGCCAATTGGAAAATTTCCTTTGACCCCGTCTCCTCATTTGAGCATGTCTAGAAAAGGTGAACCTCTCAAGGCCTGCACAGCCCTGCTGCTTTTAGGCTTTGGGAATGAGGAGGAAAGAAGTCTTCTGCTTTACCAGAAAGTGACAAATAAATGAAAAATCCTACCTGATGTCAGCCTGGTTTGAGTGACTAGTGAAATCACACAGCAGCTAGCGTAGGAAAAAACAACTCCCAGAGTAAGATGGCGAGTGGGAAGTGCCTTCCTGCGGTGTATTGTTTTTCCAGTTACAGACAGGAAACATCAAGTGTGTTTTCAAGCACAGAACGCTGGACACAGAGACGGCTCTGACAAAGCAGAAAAACACCCATGTGCAAAAACTTTAGGTCTGTGTAGCAACATGTTTGATTTAAAACAATCCGATTTAGCAAGTATTATTTTTATGATTGGATCACATTGTCTTGATAAATTCAATATGCTGCTCCATCCCCCTTTGCTTTATTTATAAGTTTTAAAAAACTGATCAAAGATAACAGATCTCAGCAAAACCAAGTTTCTTTGGTTTACATAAATGGCTTTTTAAAAAAAATTATTTTAAAAAAATTTTTGTTTTTAGGGGGGTAATTAGGTTTCAATATTTATTTATTTACTTTTTAAGTGGAGGTACCCAGGACCTTGTGCATGCTAAGCATGTGCTCTACCACTGAGCTATACCCTCCCCCGCACCGTAAATGGCTTTTGAATGGGCACCTTGGCCAGTATTCTAAGTGCTAATTGCTGAAGTTCCCTTAGGTAAAATTTTCACATCTGTGGTAAAGATGAATGTTCCAAAACACTTCAGCGTAGAAAGGGCTGAGCCTTGGACAAGTCACAGTGATGAGGGAGGTCAGGTCGTTTGTAACACATATTGGGGGAAGTGGGGACAGTTGTGGGTCCCTAAAATTGAGATGGGGATTGCACGGGCCAGTGGGGGGATTTTTGTGTGAAGGAGCCACCCCAATTTATCACATTCCCCAGTTGTGATTTGTCACTTAAAAGTAATCCTCCCTAGGTACCTCATATTTATGGATTGCAAGAATTAGTATTGTTAAAATGTGCAAACTACTGAAAGCAATCTACAGATTCAGTATAGTCCCATCATAATGGCAACTGGACCCTTTGCTTTAAATTTAGAGGCACTTTACCTGAAAAGGTATCTGCAGGCTGAAAAATACACAGAACATACTACATGAAAATGTTAACATACAGTTTAAAAAATAAGTTTACCCTGTGTTTTCTGCCTTTGAGAACACTCTGTTTACTACATTGATAAAATTAATTTTAGAAAGAGATTCAATGCGTCTTCTTAACCAGATTTTAGGGTTCACTGAAATTACTTAAATTGCCTGTAATAAGGAAAACTGATTTTCCCCCAGCTTTACTGAAGTATAATTGACAAAACTGTACATATTTAAAGTATACAATGTGATGATGATTTTATTTACATACACATTATAAAATGATTACTACAATCAGATTAATGAACATATCCATGACCTCCCATAGTTACCTTTTTTTTGTGACAGTTGTTATGAGAATGCTTAAGATCTACTCTCTTAGCAAATTCCAAGTCTGTATTATTAACTGTAGTTGCCATCCTGTACATCAGATCCCCAGAACTTATCTTATAACTGAAGGTCGGTACCCTTTGACTAGCATCTCCCCATTTCCCCAACTCCCCAGTCCTAGTGACCACCATTCCACTCTCTGTTTCTATGAGACTGTCAATTTGAAACAAAGACAGTAAATATCCTGATTTTTGCCTTGTCATGTGGGGACTCTGAGGTCTGTGCTCTGTTGTACTTGTGTACAGACTGACAGCGGGACCAGTGACTTTACAGTTGACGTTACACTTCACTTAAAGTTATGCGTCACTTGAAACCATATCAAGCATGTTACTTAAAAAGGTAACTAACACACTGTTTTTAAAAATCTGATGCAGTTTAAAAAGTCAGATAACAGGAAAAGGCTTATCACAAAGTACAGTGGGATCTCTCTTATTCATCCCACTTTCCCAGTTGAGATTCCCCAGCTGAAGAGACAAGTACTTTTGAATTTGAGCTGTTTATTTTGACATTTACTCATATCCATATTTATAGATAATATGTGTAAACTGCTATCCTTCACGTTATCAAGTTTAGGCATTATTTACTGGCTTCCTGTTATGATAAATGAGGGTTTGGAGCTCTTGTATAACCTTCCTCTCTCCTTCTGCTCCCCCATCCTTCCAGTGCAGTCATATTATAATTTGGGGATATACTATTTGATATTTACATTACTATATCCAATCAATTTTTTGTAGCTGAGCATAGTAGTAGACCATGACTATCTTGCCAAAGGACTTTTTGTTTTTTTTCTGAAGTTAATTCTTGCTTTCTTTTTACATTGACTTTCTTTTTCCTTGTGATGCTCACAGTGCTGTGGCTCATATAACTGACTCTCAAAAAAAAAAAAAAGCCCTGGTTTATGTTGTTTGCATTTGTTTGCATTCTATCTGATTTTTCATTTCAAGTTACCAGCGTGAGGTTGGTGAACAAGGAGCTGAGACAAGATGCACACAATTGGTTCTCCTGGACCATGGAGCTATTACTAACTCTCTCACACCTGCTAAGCACCCACACTGAGATTTTAAAACCAAGTTTTCCTCTTATATTTTTAAAATAATTTTGTTTCATAAGAAGACACACTTGCTCTGAACCTCCGCTTTTGAACTTGTAAATATTTTAATAGGTCTTGGGACTTCCCTCCGTGTATACTTATTCTTACAAAGGGACATTTCAGAGTTCTGCCAGAGGTGTCCAGGGCCCTGTCCAGATCGTTGGGTCCTGGCCAGAGGAGACAAGGTGAAAGTTACATAATCCAGTGGTAGTATTTCGCTAGAGGAGGGACAAGGCTCTTGGTGAGAGGGAATCATGGAGAAGCTACGGTGGTCTCATGCCAGGTATGTCCCTGCTAGGCTGTCAGGGTTCTTTCTGAGGCTGGCTCCTTGAGCTCATAGTCAGCTGTGGTCCTACTCCATTTCCCCAACTGGCGTGACTACCTGTGTTTGGCACTTCAGCAATGCCTGGCACCACATGTGCCAAGCAAGGGCCGGGATGGCATATTTTGGCTGGTTGCTTGCAGAACGTGCTCAGAGAGTTGAGAGTTGGCCTCTTCTGGATGCTGTGGCCTTGGCCTCATCTCCAGGCTCTGCTCCTCTGGTCCTGGGGAGTATTTGAGTCAGGTCAGTGTTCCGGTCTCCTGCAGAAACCAAGCCACTCCTATAGGCATCTCCCAGTTAACTGGGGCACTGCTGTGACAACTGGTATTGGAATTCTCTGTGGCAACGCCTGGGTTTTACCGGACATGCCATCACCCACGTGTGGGCTGGAAGTGTGTGCCACCACACTTCTCACGTCTAGCACTGCTCTGAGCTTAGCACTGTTTTGCGGTCATTCTAGGGGGTCCCACAACCTTCTGGCCAAAGGGCTTTCCCTTCTCTAGTGTTGGTTCATTCTGCAGTTTATCTCATAAAAAGGCTTCAGATTTTCTGGTTCATTAATGGTCTTCACACCACCCTCCTGCAATGTTCAGAGCTGAAACAGATTTTTTTTCTTTTTCCTTTAAAAATTTCTTTGTTTATTTCAGTGGGAATATGGTAGGATTGTTAAATGACTTGGCCTAAATCACTTTTGGACTGCGGAGAGAAGTCTTCTTAAACAATTACTGTGATCTGGCAACTGAGAATGCTCTGCTGATTGTTGGCTGCCCTGTGAGTTTTCTGGAAAGGGCACTGAAGTCAACAGTGGCTCTAAAGCACAGATGAGGGAAAGTTGTAAAAACACTTCGTTTCTAAAGTAAAGATGAGATAGCTGAAAGAAGGAAGATTCAATTGTCATTATTGTGTGTGCAGGATTGCATGATGTTTCCAGACTTGGGTCAGACTTGTTTGTTGTGAAACTCAGAAGTGATCATTTCAAGAACTGAAGTTCAATGTACTCTAGAAAATTGGCTTATTTTCTTTATTTCTCTGGAGCAATCGAAGTGCGGTCTGTAGGTCTCAGGCTAGGGAATTCTGGGCTGGGAGGGGAGGGGCTTGTTAACAAAACATAGGATCTCACTTCAGACCTACTGAATTAGAAACTCTTGAGGTGAGACCTGGAAAATAGCATTTTTTTTTAACTTTACTTTTTATAATCTGCAAGGTTTTTGTTTTGTTTTGTTTTGTTTTGCAGAGAGAGGTAATTAGCTTTACCTATTTGTTTATTATTTTGATGAAGGTACTGGGGATTGAACCCAGGACCTTGTGCATGCTAGGCACACACTCTACCACTGAGCTATACCCTCCCCCAGAAAGTGGCATTTTTAAATCAGTGAAGCGCCCCATCCTCCTTGTTGAATCTGTGACTGCTCGAGTTTTAGAACCACTGGTCTCAGTCATTTGTTCTTATCTGGGGTTGCTATTCTCTGCAAACTTTCATTTTGTGTTTCTTTGATTTTGCTTCAGTTGCCCTCAGATATAAAAACTGGTAAAATTTCTCCCCTTGTTATCATTCATTTCGCCTGCTTTGTTTTAAGCTCCAGGATAATAATTACTCAGTTTCATGAGTTGCTTTCTATTTCTGGATTTCTCACTCTGAACTTTTAATTTTTCCCACAGAGCCGAGAAAACAGAAGTCCTCAGTGAAGATCTCTTACAGGTAACAAAATGAAGACTTTCTAAAATGTTCTGTTTAAACAAACCAAAAAAAAAAATACCCATAGGTGAGAACTGAAGCTTCTGGTGCTTTGTTTTTTGTTTGTCGTTTTTTGCCTGAAACAGAATTAGCACAATTAGCATGGTTTTGAGCAGGAAAGAAAAGCAGTTGAATCTCACACGATAAAAAGGGGATCTGAGACCTTGGTGTCATGTTACGAAGTTCAGACGGGGCTAGTCCCGCATTCGAGCGCCAGGTGTTGGGGTGGGGCCGGGGGCGGGGCCTGGCTGACCCCATCAGCCCACTGGCACTCCAGCCTGGTCACGGGTCCGGCTTGGCAGCTGTGATGGTGCCCTTGAGGGGACAGGCTCCGCCAGCTGCAGCGGAGCTGGCTCCAACCTAGAGGTGGGATTTTTCGCTCCCTCTCGTGAACTCCAGCCTGTGGGGTCCTGGAGGACTCAGGGTCTCAGTGACAGTGACCAGATCTCTCAGAACCACCCAGGGGCCCTCGGGTGGCCTCACCTCATCAGGCCGGACTTTCCTCTCTGTAGGGGGGTGCCTTTCCCACTAGGAACCTTGGCCAGGGCCCCCCCATGCCTCCTCTTCAGAGGTCTCTCTAACTTTGGGGGTGAGAGTTCCTCCCCAAAGGGCCCGGACTCTTGATACTCATCACTTCACCCAACCCTGCTCCATCCCCACCCGCACAGGATGCTTCTCAAGGGAGAGGACCCCCTTCCTTCACCCACGTAACCTGAGGTTTCTGTTCAGCCTGCTCACCTGTCTCCTTGCCTCTCAGCTGTGTAACCTGCCTCAGGTGTACCCCAGTGAGTCCTTGGAGACCAAAGACCTGCTCCCAGGTGACTTTTTGTCTCTTCCCATGGAGAGAAAGAGCTAGATAATTTAGAGAAACACTGCGCCCACCACCTCAGGCCGAAATAACCCTCTGAATTAGAACCACCGTCTGCAAGTAGAATATTTTAAGGCTTTTTTTTTTCTTCTATTTTTGAAGACTTGAAGTTTTTAATCAAGGACTAGAAGGGTTTTGGAGGGGAAGGTATAACTCAGTGGTAGAGCGTGTACTTACGATGCACGAGGTCCTGGGTTCAATCCCAGTACAAATCAATCAGTCCATCAAATTTCCTCCCCCTCCAAAAAAAAACTACAAAGGATTAGAAGGGTTTTTTTTAAAAGATTTATTAAAGAATCATAATCTTAAAAATTTTTTATTGAGGTATGGTTTACGTAGAATATTATATAAGTTTAAGGAGCAGATTCTTTAAAATAAATAAATAAATAAAAGAAGAAACAGGTTCTTAACATTATTTCCCCACTAGTCTTTATCAGATAGTTCAAGTCCATGGTCAGACCTTTAAAAATATCGTCTGGTCCAGTTGCACTAGGTTTTCCCGTCAGCATTCTCCCTGCCACATCCCAGGTCAGTAACACGCGTTATCCCACTTAATCCTGGAAGCCCTAAGAGGAGGCCAGAAGGCCTTGCAGACGGGTGGGGTGGAGGGTGGCAGAGATGGCGTGGGACTCGGGCAGCAAGTTCTTGTCCTTCTGCCCAGACATCCGCTGGGGCCCGAGGGCTTTGCTAGCTTCTAGGAGCGCCTTCTTTTATGGCACAGATACTCCCTGTCCGCGGTCATTGTGACAGATGTCTCCCCGCTCTGACTTCTGTTGTTTTCAACCACAAACGAGGCACGTGATGGTTCAGGGTGCTGAGTCTGTGACCAGCCACCTGGATGCCCCTCCCACGTCTGCCCCGGACCAGCTTGGTGGCCTCAGGAACTGATTTATACCCTCTCAGTGCCTCAGTTTCCACTTCTCGAAAAGGAGGGTAATTGCTGTATCCGCCCCACGGGGTGGGTAAGGGGGGCTCACGAGTGAAACGTGGTGAGCGCTGGGAACAGAGCCTGGCACGTAGTAAGTGCTAACGATTAGGTACTTGTTGTCCTGGTTACCACTATCGCAAGCCGCAGAGATGATTTTGTTTCTGGTGTGAAACTTCCCTTAACTTGCTCTCTGTTCTCCAGCCTCGTTTCTTGGGTCTCTGTTAGAGCAGCTCAGGAGGCTGCCTCGTTATTTTGTTTGTACGGAGTTTCCCCAGGAGGCTGCGAATCCCAGGAGGGTGAGAACTGCAGATGATTTCCTGTTGTTCTTCTAATACCGTGTACAGGGATTCAGCTTATACCCATCGTTTTGACAAATATTAAGTGAACACCTTCCGTTCGTGGGCCAGACAGTGATCTAGGCACTTGGAATAAATCAGTGAACAAAACAGGCCAAGGCCCTGTCCCTATGGACTTTCTCTTCCAGTGGAAATTGGAATCAAAATGAAATGAACTTCTGTGGGTTTTCTTCCCCCCCTGCTTTTGTGGCAAATGAAGAAGGAATATTAGTTTTCCAGTTTTTAGAACTGGGTTGTTATAAGATTTGGAGCAAGTGATGTGGCTTCTGGTCCTAAACACATATGCCTGCAGATCAGGGTCCTGGGAAGGGGCCTTGGATCTGGAGAAGGGCTGCTTGAGAAAGAGGCACAAAACCCTCTCACTGGGTAAAGGGTTTGGGGGTAAAAATGTGTTCTGCTTTGAATTTGTTGATTTTTCTTTAAAATAGAAAGCATCCCTAAGGGCCTGCTCTCATTCTTGATGAGTCATCAGAATACACATTTTTGGCATTCCTTCCTGTAAAAAGCGGCTCTCTTTGCCATAAACAGCCACATCCCAGCACTAATATTTTGGGAAGTTGATCATGACGTGTGGGTCCCCTCAGTCGGGTTTCTCACTGCTGGCTGTCAATTATTCTGCCTTAGAGGTTTATTATTAAAAAGGAAAAAAAACAAAACAAAAGCAAAGACAAAAAAAGCCACCCCAAGCCCAATAAGGAATAATTTTGAGCACACTGATCTTGAGTTTCAGTCGTGGATCATTTCTTTTGACCTTCTGTCTGATGCACCGTGTGCGGACGGCCCTACAGCCAGATGCAGGGAGCCCGACTGTCCCTGTGGCTTTCCCGCTTGGCAGTCGCTCTGGGTCCAGGTGTAGGCAGTTCATTTGCGGTTCTGCTGGTTGGAGCTGGGGCTTTGCCGGTGCTGTAGTGTGTTAACTTTGCCACCGCTCACCCCTCCCCCTTGCACACAGATTCAGCCATTAAGGGATCTAAAACCTCAGTGTAAAGGAGGTCAGGGCTTCTCAGCCAGGGGCGAGTTTGCCTTCTGAGGGGATATTTTACAACATCTGGGGACATTTTCGGTTGTCACACTGGAGGAGCTGGATGCCACTGGCATCTAGTGGGTAGAGACCAGAGATGATGCTGAAGATGCCAGTAATGCACAGGACAGCTGCCCACCACCCAGAATTATCCAGCCCAGTTGTCAGTAGTGAGAAGCCCTGGGGTAGGTGCATGGAAACCATCACCATTTACACCCAAGAGCTGGAAAACTCGACCGCAGGTTGCCCTCCCTGCCTCCACGCAGACACCACACGAGGAAGAGGCTGAGTCTGTTCGTGAACCCTGCCAACGGCTCGTTTGTCTTTGTTCTGTCAGATCGAGCGGCGCCTGGACACGGTGCGCTCCGTGTGTCACCACTCCCACAAGCGCCTGATGGCTTGCTTCCAGGGCCAGCACGGCACCGACGCCGAGAGGAGACACGTGAGTACTGGGTGGGTCCTTGTCTCTGGGAGGCTTCTCGCCCTGTATCGGTCCACTTTCCCTGAGCAGCATCAGCAGATCTGCCTGCAGATTTGTTCCTTAGATCCCTACTCACGCTCCTGACACCTGCCTGACCATAACACGCTTTTGTGCTTAGATCATGGAGCCAAAAGCCCTGCTCACACTGAATTGTCTCCAGGTGCTTTTAAAGATTTGTCTTCCATCAGAGAATGGATATGTCAGTTAGGACTCCTTTGATGGCAAAAAGCTGAAAGCCTGTCTTAAATTGACTTAGAAAGTAGAATTTATTGGCTTACTGAGAAGTCCAGAAGTTGGGATGGACTTGAGGTAAGGCTCTGTCAGTCTAGCTTTTCCGTGATGTAACCAAAACCCCAGTTTTTTTCTTCTCTCCTTTGGCTGTCTTCAGTGTCTGCTTTATCCTTCATGGTTACAAGTTGGCTACCAGCAGCTTATGTGGGCTACTCCACGCAGGTGCACGTCCAGCAAGAGTAGAGAGCATCTCTTCCGGTAGCTTTCTTAGTGGGGTGAGAAAACTTCTTTTTCCACACCCGTGGCAGGTAGCAGTCTCTTCCCATTGTCTTGATCTGCATGGAGTCACGTTCCCCGTTTCTGAACGTTTCCACCTCCCCAACACCCCGACCCGCACTAGCTACCACGGGTAGGGGGTGAGGTTGGGAGAGAAGGTGGGATGTGTTGATCGACTTACACTGATCACTGCTCACCCCAGAGCATTGGCTGTGGTCCTGCCTCCAGCTCATAGGCTTCATCGAGGCCAGGCTAGATCCTTAGGAGAACTTAGGGTGCTGCAGTAGACAGGAGGAAGGATGGGCCCTGTTCAATTCAAGAACAATTGAACGCCCACCCCAGGATACGTTTGCTCAGAGCATCCAGCCCCCCGTGTCCCACCGGCAGAGCACAGCAGCTTTGTTCATTCGGCAGTTCCGTCCTTAGTTTTACAAGTTCCCAGCTTATGAGCACACACTGCCCCTTAGAAGCCCATAAAACATTAAGGCAGGAGTTGCAGCGGCGTACAGGGAAGCTATGACTTCCCACGTTGCTTTGTTTGTCACCAGATGTCTCACGAGGAAGACCTGGTATGCAGATGACCTGTGTCATCCTTCTTTTATATTTCCTACACGCTTTTCTGGCCATCTTGACAACAGGGTTACTCCTCCCTTGCACGATACGTAGTTTTCCCACCGCGATGTCTGTCTAAGCAGCGGAAGTTTGTAAACACCTGTGATTCCAGGAACGTCTGCTGCAGGTCCTGTCCGCCAGAACCAGACTCGGTCTGCTGGTTCCGCCCCTGCTGCTCCCTCGCTTTCTCTTGCCACGGCTTCTGCTCTGCCTGCCCCTGTCGTGCTGTTTCCTGAGGTTCTGTCCTTCGCCTCTTTATTCTCACAGTCACATTCCTTGCCTTGGGCCACGCCTTCAGTTCTCATGGCTTCTAACTGATGTGTTTATTCAGGGACTTGTAAACCATTTTCAACCAAACAGAATGCTTCCTCCCCTCGTTGTCTCCTTAAGCGTGAGTAACTAGTTCTTTCCTCTGTGTTGACGCTTAAATTCCTTCCACCCTATTATGCAAGCCAGAAACTGTAGGGTTATCGTATACTCCCTTTTATTTTATCCCCACCCTCCCATAGCTGCTGGATTAGCGAGTCCTGTGATTCCCTCTGTGAGTGTTTCTTGAATTCCTCATTTCTGCTCCATCTTTACCACATTCGCCTTAATGAAGACTCGATTCCCTCTCACCTGGCCTGTCACGGTCACCTCTTGAGCTCCATTTCCTGCCTCTAATTTCCTTCTTTTCCAGCCTTTCTTCAACCTGATCACCAGAGTTGGTTTCTTGAAATACAAATTGATCCTGTCTTCCTTCTGCCTGGAAAAGAAAAAAAAATATCTTAAGCTTAGCTGTGCTCAGCCAGGACCAGAATTACACTCCTGGGGATATTTGGAAAAGTGGAGACTTTTCTGATTGCCATCAGGTCTGGGGGACACTACTAGGTTTTGGAGGGTGGGGACCAGGATGCTGAACACTCTTCACTGCCTGGCGGAATAGCTGCACCCAAGGAAGTGTCCCATAGTGCGGGCAGTGCTCTGGCGGGGACACCGGCTGGTTCCCATCGGCTGGTTTAATGTCCAAGCTCTTTTTTTTTTTTAATTCAAGTATAGTTGATTTACAATATTATATTCATTTCAGGTGTACAACATCATGATCCAGTATTTTTTTTATAGATTATACTCCATTTAAAGTTATTAGAAAATATTGGCTGTCTTCTCTTTGCCGTACAAAATACCCCGAAGTCGGAGCTCTTTAGATGACGTAAACCCTTCACAATCTGCTCGCATTTCCCTTGGCAGTCTCAGTGTCGCCCGGCAGTCTCAGTGTCGCCCACTTCCTCTTACTCATGCTATATGCCATCATCGTCACACAGTTACATCTTGTTGGTCCTTTCGTCTGCTTTGAGACACAGCCCAGGTATTGCATGTATTCATTAAAACACAAATGCAGTATTTATCAAACACCTACTGTGTACAAGTGCCGGAGCTGTAGAAGAGTAAGATGTGGTGTCTGCCTTAAAAGGTGCTCACAGCCTGGTGGAGGAGGCTCCCCACCCCGAAATGGTAATTATAAAACAACATGCTAAACAGAATGTGCACAGGGTATTGGTGGGGACCAAAGGAGGAGGGGGGAGGCAGGGAGGCTTCCTGGAGGCGGTGGTGGCCGAGCTGTAAAGGAGGAAAATGAGTGGCAGGTGATGGGTATATTCCAGGCAGCAGGGGCAAAGGTGCCTCATTTCTAAGACCCAGTGCCTTAGCCTGCCTTTTCCAACCTCAAACCAAAGCCCCCAAGACAGGGCTCTGGGGATGTTTACACTCTGCACGTGGGAAGAGGAGTCACCGTGAAAACAACAGACAACAGGTGACCACGAGAGGCCGGTTGTATGCAGAAAACCACAGCAGATCTCTAGGGCTCTAAAAAACAGAGGAGGAGCTTCCCAGAGGCCCCGCCAGCAGCTCCCATGCGAGCGAAGAGGCAAGAACTGGAAGGGACCCATAGAGCTCCAGAGTTGCAAAAAGTGTATTTCTCTTAATTACCGCCCTTATCCTACATTAACTTCCCTTAGAAAGGCTGTGTAACTAAAAGGTATCACTTACCCTCTATTTTGATCCCAGCCCACTGCCCGTTTTCACGTGTCTTCCTGGGCTGGAAGTGAGAAAGCCCAGGAGACGTGAAGCCTGTTATTTATTTATTGGAGAATAACTCAAGGAGGAGGAGAGATGGGTACATATGTTTGTTGCTACTTATTGTTAAATTTCAGTGTACTATTTTGCACGGGCTGTCCCATTTACATGGTCAAAATCCATGATAAGAGAAGATGAAGTGAGGTCTCTCCCAGCCCTGTTCCCGGGCACCCCACTCCGCTCTCCAGGACCACCAGTATTAGCAGCTTCTTGTACAGCTTTCAAGAGATACTCTACATGATAGAAGCAGGGACGGGTACACCTGTATCAGGTGCAGCCCTTGAAAGCAGGAAAAGCAGGAGACATGCCTGAGGTCAGGGCGGAGCAGTTCCCCCCGAGGTGGACCCTGGGTCTCTGATGTGAGTACCCTTTCTACTGGGAAGGCAAAAATTACATGGAGTCCTGTAGCAGTGAAAGCATTTTTTGTTAGCAGATTATGGTATTATAACCGACGCACTTGCTGCTTTCCAGGCCTCTGCTGCCCACATTCTGACATAAGCCATCAGCCGGTGGTGGACAGACTCTGAACCTGGGCTTGGGCCGTCAGCGCTGAGGTCTGGCTCTGCGCCCCCTCACTGGGGTGCCTGGTCACACGTGTGAGCCCCCTGGGCTTCATGTTGCTTGACTGCACAGTTAGAACGATAATCAGATGACCCTTACGGTCATTTCCAACTGAAAAACAAACCTCTGATAGGAAGTGAGTGGCTTCGTGCCTAAAAAGCCTTCTTTTGTTATTTAGCTAGGTTTTTCCAGATCTTTAACGAGAGCTGCGTCTTTATGATTACAGCCAAATGAATAGCCAGTTTCAGAAAGAGTATTCTAGCTAGAGTTTTTGAAATTGAGCACCCTATGGCATTCATTTTTCATAATGATCAGAGAGCAAGGTCTATGTCTTATGTCCCCAGTGCCTGGGACATAATATGCCCTTGGCTTATTAGTAATTATAATAATAGCAACAACCACAGTAATAATAGCTGTGAATGTTTACTGAGTCCTTACCACGTGGGAGGTACTGGACCTTGAATACCTCCTGTAGTCGCCAGGCAGCCCTGGGACCCTCGCACTGTTATCCCTAAATTCCAGGCATGAGGAAACTGACACAGAGGTTAAGTCACACGACTCGTAACCTTTAAGACCAGAACCTGAACCCAGACAGACTGTCTCTTATGTGCAGTTTGCCTGGAGGAGAAACCAGTGACTGATAATCTGAAGCAGGTAACTGAGAACAGGGTATCATTTGTAATGGGAAGAGAAAAAAAAACAAAAACCAAAACTCATTGTCTTCTTCCTTCCAGAAAAAACTCCCTCTGACAGCTCTCGCTCAGAACATGATAGAAGCATCGACTCAGCTAGAAGACTCTCTCCTGGGGTAAGAGTTGGCCGCTTTCAGAAGGAGAGAGCGCCCGCGGGTCAGTGGAAGCGGACAGCTGGGTGGGGTGCGTGGCAGCCACCCGTGTGACCACAGGGACATGAGCATGATGCCATGGCTCGTTTGCTGGGAGAACAGCTCAGGCTCCATGGGAGGCCGGTGGGATGCAGGAGAAGCTTCCTTTTAGTGGAAGCAAGGATGGATGATGCCAAAGGCTGCTAATGAAAGTAATTGATAGGGCCAATATTTATTCCCTGGATATAAAGAACTCAGTCCCTTCCCTGTTCCAGGTGTTCACTCAGATTTATAAGCCCTGACCAGTCCCTTCCCGTCCTTAAGAGTCACTTATTTTATTTAAAGAAAAAAAATTGGGGGGGTGGGTATTTAGGTACTTTTATTTTTTTTAATGGAGGTGCTGGGGATTGAACCCAGGACCTTGTTGATGCTAAGCACGTGCTCTACTAAGAGCTCTCTGTGCTCCCTCCCTGCTAAGAGTCACTTATTTTAAAGGCAATTACCATAATGTCCATGGAGGTTGTCTCAAAGTAGTATCCTTTCTGAATTATCTGGATTGTTTTTTTACGATGGGCATGTATTATATAAATACTTTAAAAATCTAATAATAAAGCTGTTTGCATTGTTGAGAGGGAAGGTTTTCCCTTCCTTGTACCTGCTTCTCCACGAGGCCAGTGTCCTTTGATCCAGTCTGCCCTCTCCTGCTGTAAGACGGGCCCTCCCTTCCCAGCCGGGTATATGGCCTTTGGACTTTTCAGCCTATTTCCCGAGGTCTGCCATGCTCTGTATCCTACAATTCTCCGTGGTTCGTTGGAGGAGACAGTGGTTTCCTCTCACTCTGCACCCTTCCTTTGTCTTCTCTGTGCTCCCATACTTGGGGGCACTGGCCTTGAGAGGAGGGGATGCGCGCCTGCATGCTGGCCCCCCTCCCTCCAGCCTGGATGTGTTTCCGTGTTCATACTTCCTCCTCCTGCTGCCGACACCATCACCACCCTGGTTGGCAGAGTGCTTGCTGTGTACCAGCACTGTTCTCAGTGCTTTTCCAGTAACAGCTCATTTAACCCTCGAACCAACCTAGGAAATAGGTGATATTAACATCCCCATCTTACAGATGAGGAAATTGACAAACAGGGAGGGTGAGTAAATTGCCCAAGACCACACGGCTGGCAAACAGCCACGCCTGCATCCACACTGGGGCAGCCTGGCACTAGAGGTCACTGTTCCTGCCTGCGGCACCGTGGCCACCTCAGGCCAGCACCACACATGTTTATTTATAATTTCAAAAGGACCGCATAGAGAACTGGAGGGGGAAGGGCAGAGACAGAGCCATTATATCCTTTGCAGGTGTACTTCTTGTGCCATCAACGGTACGCTCCCAGGAAGGAAGAGGAACCACGAGTTTCATGTGACGCAGCCCTTAAGTGTTAGCCCACCGGCTCACTTGCCCAGTGGCAAACCAGCACTTGCTTTAACTCTGGAGAAAACACCACATAGGCTGGACTCACTGGCAGACAGAAAACATATAGTATAATGAATTTTACCTATGATTTAAAAGATTTTTCAGGGTGCTTTTGAGAATACTTGATTTTCACTTGACCCAAGGACCTAATCTTTCAGTGAGTTGTCACCCCACTGTTAACCCACATCCCGCACACACAAAGTATATCTCAGATAGCCTGTTCATTTTAAAGCACAAATCTGTGGACTCACACTCTAAATTTAGAGTTGTTTTTCGATGTGTAGCACCCTAATGTGTTCCCATTGCTTGGCGAGCAGGGCTGGCTCGTGGTGGTAATCAGGTGGCGGATTTAACGGACGTATGTTTGTTGTCGGGCGTCTTGTTTTTTAAAGGAAGATGTTGGAGACGTGTGGGGATGCTGAGAATCAGCTGGCTCTGGAACTCTCTCAGCACGAAGTCTTTATTGAGAAGGAGATAGTGGACCCTCTGTATGGCATAGCAGAGGTGGGTGCTTGGCTGGGGACCCAAGACTGGTGGGGGCTGGGTGGTGAGTGGTTGTTCACTTATGTCTAAAATTTTAACACTAACCAAGGGCTTTGACTTACGCTTCTTTCTGGAAAAAAGGGAAGTTAAGTTGAGGGTACAAAATCCTTTGTCTAAGGGAAAAAAAAATCGCAAGTAAGTATTGCACTTTCAAATGTTAAACTGAAAACCCCAAAGCCCGTCTCGTTTGGTATGTGGTTTGTTCTTCTTTCTAGGTGGAGATTCCCAACATCCAGAAACAGAGAAAGCAGCTCGCCAAGTTGGTGTTAGACTGGGATTCGGTCAGAGCCAGGTAAGGTGAAGCTGCCAAAAATGACCAGTAATACAGTACCATGTCAGGTCCCCCCAGCCCACCCCCACCATGGATGAGAGAAGGACCACTGGGTGGACAGAATGGAAGTCCTCACACATTCACACACTGGACCACAGCCTGAGACACAGCCTACTTACAGCTGCTTTCGGTCCTCCTCCTCCCAAGCGTGGCCATGGCATGATGGTAGAACACCCTGTTCCTAGTCAATCAACAGTGAAAGGAGGCAGGAAAAAAAAAAAAGAAACCTAAGGAAGTGTATTCGGGGGAGAAGGGATGGTGGCAGGCAGTTCTAAGAGTGTTGCTTTTGATTCCAACACTGGAGTGTAGGAATAAATAGATCTGTGATCCTAGCAGCTTCTAAGGGTCCCACTGAGTCGGAAAAGCCCATGTGGTTGTGATTATTCTTCACAATCGAGCAATGCTGTGCTGAAAAGGTAGGAACTAAGTAAAACCAAGTAACCATCCCAGAGGGCTGATGTCAGACGGCCCATCTGTAGGACTGGTGGCCAGGCTCCAGCCTCAGCTCCATCCTTGAGAACATCTGTGTCAATGACTCATATGAGAGGAGGAGCCAATAGGGAGGGAGGCGCCGTGGGCCCCAGCCTTTCTCATACCTTATCACGAGGCCCAAAGTCACACAGCTAATGAAGGTAGAGCTGAGCTTCAGACTGGAGCCCATCAGACTCATGCTCTCTGCATGGCCAGTTTTGCTTCATTCGGTTTACGGAAGTCCTGCTGTGGAGGAGTGCGTTGCATGAGGAATGTGACGGAGGGCAGAGCAGAGCATTCTGGGGGCAATGCAGGTGTCTGGAAAGCTTAATAAGTTGCTAACGTGGGTTTTCATGCTACATCTACATAATATCCATGTTTAAGTTTAAAGTGTTAGAACCTTCTGCATGGGCAGTCATGTCCCTGTTTAAACAGAAGGTCGAAACACCTTGAAAACCAAATAGAAATTGTCTGAGATTCGTATTTCCCACGCACCGCCCTACTGTTGCCATGCTATTATTGGGGGGGGGTCCTTTTGACTTCCTATAAAGGGAATGTAAACATTCCACATCATGTTTCAGATCTGCTATAAGTATTGTCTTTGGAATATTAATTCTTACAAGTGATTTTAATTCTTAAAGTACATTCATAGCTACGTACTAGCAACATGACTGAAGTTCTGGCTTTCTCTTGCTGAGAGTCATCACAGGTCAGGACAGTAGGAGGTGTTATAAAGGGTCTTTAAGAGCAGCAGCTGCCTCCCAGTGGCACAGGAAACATTCTAGATCAAAGCAAGACAACAGGGAGGTCATTCATGGCAAGAATCCCAAGTCTGGACACTAGAGGAAAGGGGTTTCATGGATTGATTGCCAGCAGTGGAGTCTGTGTGAGACAAGATGTGGTGTCCGTTCTGCTCAGAGCAGAAGCTACTCCCAGCACTATGGGAGTCCTGTCATGGTGGGAAGCCGATGTCGCCTTTGCCTGTTTCCATTCTCAGAGGATAAACTTGCAGGCATCCCAGGTGCTGATACCTGTCCCAGCGAGAATCGGTTTTGGGGAAGGAGTCTGTCTCCATTAGGTCCTTGACTCCATAAGGCTGAGCATGTACCGCTGATTCTCAGGTAATGGCTACGCCTGTGCTTTGCAGGTGGAACCAGGCTCACAAATCTTCAGGAACCAACTTCCAGGGGCTTCCATCAAAAATAGATACCCTAAAGGAAGAGATGGATGAAGCTGGAAATAAAGTAGAACAGTGCAAGGTAGGAGAATTCCTTAGTAAATATGTGCTACACCAATCTTTTGGCTTTTGCAAATGACAGATGAAAGGTCAAATACTGCCAATTATTTAATGTTTTACATAATTCCTATTAGAATTCCCTGAATGGTATTAAAGGTGGTTTTTATTTCCTTCTTCCTTCTCTCTTTATTTTTCCAAGACTCTACATTACTTAATAATCAGAATAAAACATTATTTTTAAAAAAATTCAAATATTTAGAATAAAGAATAGGGGAATAAAAAGAAGTAAAACTATAGAAAAACATCATACATTTACAGCAATTAAAACAGTGCACAATGGGCACAAAAATAGATTCATGGAATAGTGTAAGTTTTCTAGAATGAATGCTGTTACATTTACAAGTTGAATATATAGTAAAAGGGTCATCATATATCTGTAGAGAAGGGAAGGACTTTTTTTGAAATGTTGCTTGGACAATTGGTTTGTAATTTGAGAGAAATGTAACTTTGTATCTCATAAATTAAATTCCAGACTAGGTGGTTAAGTGAACTCACTCTCTGTGCGTCTATCTGTGAAAGCTGATGTTTATTCCAAACGTTATTTGAGGTGGTAAAGAAACAGGCCTGTGATGATTCTTAGGATCATTGCCTGAGACTTTTCTTCCTCTTAAACTATTCATCATTTTCCAAAAACGGTCTCTTTGTTCTACTAGATAGCATTAAGACTAGTATATTTCAGTGTATTCAGATCATGCTATAATCCCCTTTTCAAGATAGCAAACCTTGGACAGTTAACTGCAGTAAAATGACTTGTTTAAAATAATATAACGGGTAAGAATTCATACCAAACTCACAAAGTCATGCCATACCCTTTAAAAAGGTAATATTCACACAAATGCTTCTGATGAAAGTCTCACACTGGCTTGTTTTCATTCAGAAGAGCTGTAGCTTGGCTATATCATTTACCCAGCAGTCTTTTTCATATCTGGTCTAACCTAGATCTTGGCTATTGGCTACTTATTGGATATAAATTTGGCTAGAGATTTGGGGAGTCTGAACTGGTGCATTATGGACTAGTGTCTGTTCTCTCACCTTCCACACCGTGGCTTGTCAGAAATTCAAATGGTGAAAACTTATGAAAATATTTTCTGTCTCCTTTCTCTTTATGCTAACTTCTGGACACTTTCCTGAGCTTTAATTTCTATTTCACTGATTCTCTCTTCAGCTGTGTCTGATGTGCTGTTTAACTGATTAACATTGAGTTTTGAATTTCATCGGCCATATTTTTCATTTTAAAGTTCTAATTTTTCAAGTCTGCCTTTTTTAATAGTGATGATTCTTTTTCAGTATTGATTTTTTTAAATGTTTTTAATCATTTATATGCACTTATTTTAAGTCTCTGTTACTCTGTTTTCTGAAGTTTTCGCTGACAGTGGTGGGAGTTTCCTTTACGGTGGACTGTTGTGCAATTTTGCACTGTGAGCTCATTTTAAGAGGGACTTTATCTGTGGGACTTCTGGGGATTGGAAGTGAGTCTCCCAGAGAGTATTCCCAGTCCAGTAACCTTTCTCGGTTTGAGGGTTCCTGGATCACACATATAATAAATTCAGAATTCAAACCCTCATGAAAGCAGGTCTATATATATTTATGAACTCTCAGGGAAATGTTTTACTTTTCCAGACCCAGAGCCCAACCCCAAACAGATAAACTCCCCAGAATTTCCATGCTCTGCTGAGGGCGTAGTTTCTTAGGAATGTTATCTTTATGTGTGACATGTCTCATCTTCTCTCAGTGATGGTGTCTCACCTCACTAGGCCCAAGGCTTCATTTTCTGTCCTTTGACCCCTCATGACTGCTAGACTCAAAACCTTGGCCAGAAGATTAGCACAGACCCACCCCGGTCACCCCCAGCTTCTGCTCATGCCCGGCCTTTTCTTAATTTTTCTTTTCCTGTCTCTTTTTCTCCTTCTGTCTTTTTTGGGGGGAAATTGGAGTGGGACTTCCTGAATTTACTTTGTTGCCTTCCCAGTTATTCTAAAAGAATGTTTGTTACTCCTAACTAGCATTTCATAAATGAGAGGACCTTCATGTTAGTTTGTACAGCTTGATGCTAATGACAGAAGGCAGTACATTTAAAATATATATATGTGTATATATGGAATTTTTATATATATGTATATGACAATGGGAAATATGCATATATCCAATTGCCCAATCTATCTCTTTCAGACAGGTTATTTAATTTTTATGTAAGTAATTCATTTACATTTAATTCAGATATCAGAAGTATAAAACAATATATAATTAGGCATTAGGAAGACAGGGGACTGTCCGTTGCTCCCAACAGGTAAGCACTGTTAGTGATTCTTGCTTTTTCTTCTAGGGGTATTTTTTTATACAGATATGGCAATAAAAGTATTTCCTTTCCTTTTTTTACCCAGATAGGAACATACCATAGCATAAGTGGTGCTCTGCACTTCTTAACAAGGCGTATTAACAGTAGACCTTGGAGCGCTCTCTGCATCCAACCACAATGAGCTTGCTTACTTTTCCGTCATCCCAGTATGTGATCGCACCAGTCACTGATGGCCATTTCATCTGCGGCCGTTTCATCCCGTTTTGCTCTAGGACTAGGTGCTTACGGAGGTTAATTCTCAGATGTCCCTTTCTTTCGCCTCTTTTTCCTTCAATGACGTATCTTCTCTCCCACTCACCCAGGATCAGCTTGCAGCAGACATGTACAACTTCATGGCCAAAGAAGGGGAGTACGGCCAGTTCTTCGTGACGGTAAGCACTTTGCCCTGACGGGATGGTAAAGCATTGTAAAGTTGAGCCATTTTAGCTTTTTTGCAAAAGATGTCATTTTTGGTTTTGCTCAGCCATTGTGTGTGTGTCCATCCAATGCTAACGTTACTTTTGTTTTTGAATGTGGGTCTGTTCTCAGTTATTAGAAGCCCAAGCAGATTACCATAGAAAAGCATTAGCAGTCTTAGAAAAGGCCCTTCCCGAATTGCGAGCCCATCAAGGTAATGTAACCTGTGTGCTGGCCTGATGCCTCCTTCTCGCCTCTGCCACTTCTGCCTCTGTTCTTCTTCACCCCGACTCCTTTGCATGCGTTTCCTTTGGATAAAGCCGCTCTGCCCAGGCAGGCACTGTTTCCCAGCATACTTCCATCTTCCCTTGCTGCATTCTCTAATTTCTCCCAAACCCAAATTAACACACTAATGGACCATTTGCAGTTCTTCTGACATCTTCAGTTGAAGAGAAGGCTGCACCCTTTGGGGAGTGCCTGTCTTTTCTTTTTTTTTTTCTTTCTCTCTCTCTCTCTCTTCTAAATAGGCTCGAAAAATTCTAGCCTCTGATTATCTTTTCCCAAATCAGTTATTTGTTCCAGAGGGCTTTATTTCTAGCCCTGTGTCTCCAAGAGCATACATTTGTGGGAAAATATTTCAGACTGAGCACCTGCCACCCCATCATCAGGCATATAGTCAGGATGATTGCACCGTCAGACCACGGCCACCTCTCTCAAATCTCTCCTCTGTCCTTATACTTGCTTTTGTTTGTATCAGTACTCCGTCTGCCCACCATGTTCAAGCACATTGCAGATTCTACTCTCAAGTTATGAGTGGACTGAATTTTCCCCCAGTGTTTGCTTTTAAACTGAACCTTAACCCCTTTGATTCTAATTCTCTCTGATTTGTCGTGAGAGCGTCCATCAGCAGAAATCAGTAAATGTCATGGAGGCAGGAAATTGCTCTGTCATCCTTGGCCGTGTTGCAGTAGTTTGCTAACAGTGTAGTCCCCTCATCTGGCGCTTAGGTGCACCCAGCAGAGCCACTGGTCTTGAGCCGAAAGAGGATCAGCCAGGTGCCGAGTTCAACAACTCTGTGGTCAGGAAAGAGAGTGAGCACGTGTGAGGGCGGGAGTGGCCCCCTCCAGAATGCCACTTCTCCCCTAGATTGCAGGAGATTCCCAACAGGCTGTGGCTTTGTGCCTGAAAGTTTTTAGATTTTGGAATGGAAAATGCTATGTCTTGAGCGGCCCCTTAGCCAGCTCTTCAGCCGTCTCGAGGGCAGGAGGTCTCAGTTACTGGGCCATTCTCCCTTACGTTCCCAAGTGACCCCATTTCCAGGTTCGTGGATAATGGGGTTGAGTCACGGTGCAAAGGAATGAGGCTGCTGGAAAACGTTCAGCCTGCAGGGACCCGACCCTTGCTGGACACGTTCAGGGCACCGGGAGCCTGTGTTTCTGGGATACCTTCTGGGCGCAGGGCCCTGCAGAGGACAAAGTAGTAAACATCGCCATCCTAGCCTTTGCATGGCTTCAAGTCTGGTTTGGAAGAGTTGACTAACAAGCACAAAAAAGAGATTTTTTTTAACAGCACCCCCACCTTTTCTTTTCTTTAAACTCTTATTCTATTTTTTCCCCAAGACTGTTTTCCCTAGAGAAGTATGTCAGTCATGGGGCCCAGGCAGGGGCAGGGAAGAGGCTGAGGGTGGGACAAGGAAAGCTGGCACGTGAGGGGACGGGCAGTGAAGGAAAGGAGATTCTTCTTTCCTCCTAAAGGTGCCGCCTGCACCCAAGCCTTGGCTTTCAACCCCGTCCCCCTCCGCCTGTCCTCGGTTCTGCCTCTTACCTTCGTCCTGTCTTCCCCTTCTCCTCTGTTTTCAGAAGACTCAGAGTGTCCTCACGATAGGAAAAAAAGCCTGACCCTCTGCCCCCCGGGCCCCGCACACCCCGACCGCACACTTACGGCCTTTATCCGGTACCAGCCTGTCCTCCACGGGGGCCTCATTACAGCTCTTTCTCCTTCATTTTTCTTGTAGGCTCTGTGAATGACCGATTTCTCCCGGCCGCCTCTGTTTTCTAACCACCTTCCCACCCATAACACCTTGCAGTCTGGTTTCTACTCCCAATCACTCTGCTCTTAAAAACAAACAAACAAACAAACAAAAAAACCACTGCAAGTCCCCTATGGACAGATGATTCTGAGTTGTCGGATTCTTGGATGTGACGTGGCCAGAGCCGTCCCTTCCTTGCTAATTTTTTCCCCTCATTTCACTTGATTGTTTTCCGTCATTGCTGGGGCTCTGTTTTCTCCATTTCTGTCCCCGGGAGTCAAGCCTTTTCTGCGATCCAGACCTTGCTTCTGTGTTCTCTCCCTCGCTCCCTCCCTCCCAGACATTTTCTCTCAAAATCCCTCTGTTTTGATGGCTTCACCTCTCACCTGCATCCTAATCTTCACAGCCTCCGTGTCAGTTCCCTTTGAGAACTGTCACCTTAAACTCAATGTAGCAAGCTGACTCTCCCCCACCCCCGCTGTCCTCTCCTCCCACCCTGTCTCCTGGGTCCCTCCTTTCTCCAGACAATCCAGGTTTCAAACTTGGAGCCATCTTTTCCTTCCTCTCTGATCCCCTCTCGCTGGGTTCTGTCCATTTTTCCGTCTGCTGTACCTTCCTCTCACCCCCACCATCCCACTCGATTCCATGACCTGTCGCCTTGTATATGAGCTGTGGGATAAAGTGTAAATTTTCAGACTCAGGGTCCCTGGTCTTTTCTCAGCCTACGTGTTCTTGGACTTTTTAATTCTTGTCCATCTTCTAAGACCTTCGCCAAGCTCCCCTCCTTTGAGAAGCCTTCTCTGACAACTGAAGCCAACAGTGAACACTTTCATCTCCTGAATTGCCGTAGCGTGGATGGTCTACACCAGAAGTCGCAAACAGCCATATCTCATTTAAAAAAAATTTTTTTTTTCCCAACGAATTGCCATGATTTAAAAACCAGACTCTTTCACATAACAGTCCTAATTCCCGGCTTCTCTTGAAAATTCAGAAGATCTGGTGACGCTGGATGTGCTTTCCTACCCGGCGACATGGATCTGGCCCCGGGAGCAGCTGCTGCCTTTTCGGCAGACCACGCGCTCCCTTCCCGGATCCGGCACTTGCGGGGCCGTGCGGCCCCTGCACACGACTGAGTTTGCGACCCTCGTCTATACCATTTTCCTGCCATGATTTCGCAGACATGTCATGTCCTGTTAATTACTGTTGTGTGTTTACATGTGTGTCTTGTATTTTCTCCACAATTAGATGGCTCTCATCCTGAGGTGGGAGAGGTCTCTGTGAACTTTGGGTGCCCACTGCAGGGCCTGGTCTGTTGTTTAAGAGGTTTGCCTCCAGAGTGGTCTTGAGGTCAGCAGCTCTCACATCCACCCTCCGCCAACATCACACTAAGGTGGGGGGGTGGGACGCACTTTTCAGTGTTTACTAGAAAGTTCCAGCAGAGGTCTGGAGGGCACCTACCTCTCAGCATTGCAGGGCCGGGCATGTGGAGGTGATGGCAGGTGTCATTTGCAGAGCTCCCTCGAGTGATTCTGAAGTATCCCCCCACCCGGGGAAGGGTCAGCTGGCCCTTTTCTGCCTGTGTGGAGAATCATTGCTTTAGATAAAAGGGACAAAATATTCATGGTAAGATCTGGCCTGTGAGAGGACCCAGAGTCCCAGAGCTCTGTCTTCCTGGAAGAGCCAGGCCCTGGATGCTTTTTCTGTTAGGAATTCCACTGACCAGGGCCAGGGCCGAGGCTGGAGATGAGGGGCCTCCCGATAGCTCTGAGGGCATGATCTGTCCGCTGCCTCCTGCCCTCTCACCCCTTTCTTTACCCTTTACCCAACTTACTCCTCCTGCCAATTTCTGACTTCTCACAAGCGCCCTGGTCTGCGGATCTGTAGGACTTCACGTCCCTTCCTGCCCCCTGTGCTGGTCCAGTGACGGCCCTGCCTGCTGTTACGTGCATGTCAGTGTCAGAGGACATGCTAGGACAGCAACTCCTACTTCAAATCCGGGATTCAGATAGCGAAGTGGCTGAAGGACACGTGTCCACCAACAGCGGTGCTGAAGACACGAGCCCTTCCTGTCGCTGGAAAGGACCAGGTGTCCCCAGGGGAGCACTTCCACTGACCGGTTTCCCTCGTTGGCTCCTGTGTGCTTCTCAGCAGGTGCCAGGTCCCCACACCCACCCAGGCAGGCCGAGCCCAACCATACACTTCTTACTGCGATTCCGTACATCCATTTCCTAAATTCCTGTTTCTGTTTTACTGCTTTCCTGTGTGTCTTTCTGCTGAGCTGCCTCAAATCCTTTGTGGGACGAAGCAGAGCGTATGATGGGAAAGTCATGCACAGTATTGCTTTACTGCGTCGGTTCAGCCTTCAGCCTAAGCTGCATTGGGGCTGCATCCTCTCCTACTCAGGCTCTTTTGGACCATTTGGGGATACGGGGCTCGGAAACACTGGAGATGTTGCTTTTAGTAAGAGCTCACTTGGCCATCTCCATGGTCCTGTGTGACAATGCTTGGCTGGTGTTTAAAATTTTTAAGAAATTATTTCTTTTTCTAATTGAAGGAGTCGATTTCTTGTCCTCTAGGTAGAAAGCCAGTGCTGCTTTGCATGGCTAGGGTGAATTTTTCAGTGGAAGCAGCGCGCTCAGGTGGACCGCGGTTTTAGCGCCAAGCAGCCCACCTGGCCGGGGATTAATGCGGAAGTGATGCTGGGGCAAGAGCACCATCGCAGCTCCTGCTGGGCTTCGGCGGGGGGGGGGGGGGCATGTGGGCGTGTTCAGGGCTCTGCTCCAAAGGTCACCTCCCTAGCCTGGCACATATTTTGCGCTCTCGTTAATGATAAATAACAGATAGAACAGATGTTTCCCATTTTCCCAAAGCCTCGGCTACAGGCTGCTTAAAAAAAAAATCCCTGTTGGTAGTCTGGAGGAGAAGGAACTTGGTGATGCCGCAAGGCTGGAGTCTCTTACTGAATGGCTTGCTGCTCTAGATAAGTGGGCGGAAAAGCCCGCCTTCGGGACGCCTTTGGAAGAGCACCTGAAGCGGAGCGGGCGCGAGATAGCGCTGCCCATCGAGGCCTGCGTCATGCTGCTCCTGGAGACCGGGATGAAGGAGGAGGTGAGGGGCGGGGAGGAGGAGCGAGGGGGCGGGGCTGAGAAGGAGGGGGAGGGACATGGGAGAGGGGCGGGGAGGCGGCGGCCAGCGGGCTGGCCCTGGTGCCCCTGTCTGTGCCCCGTCTCCGCCCCGAGCACCGACTAGACCACATCGTCACGTCGGGGCTGTGTAGACCCGTGGCCCTCAGACTGCGTTCACCGTGATCATGTTTTACACTGAGACCCCGTCCGTTTTCCCTATTGTAGACGCTATAAATGAAACCGAGAACAGTGGTTACCTTGCCTACCTGCAGTACACGCTGCCTTTTTTTCCTTTTGTCCCATTTGTTTCCTGTTAAACACTGGTTGTGATTTGTGAAAGTGAATTCTATGATGCGCTGGTGAACCAGAGCTGCTGGGAGCTTTCGTGTCTGATAGCAAGGATCTTACATTTGCATACTGCTGTACAGTGGGGTGGGGGACAGGTATTTATATACTTCTTAAAATGAAATCCTTACCCAGAAAACCCCGTGAACCAAGCAGGGTGGGTCTCATTGCTCTCCCTGTGTAGATGAAGAATTCAGGTCGCAGGGAATTTGTGCTGGAGCAGAGCCAGGATCAAAACATGAGTCTTTTATTTTCTTCCTTTTAAAAACTTTTTATTGAAGTATAAGGTCTGTATAGAAAAATGCGTGTATCATAAGTGACCAGCTTGATACATTTTCACCATCCGAACCCCACCCATGTACTCAGCACTCAGACCAAGAACCCCCCACCCCAGGAGCCTTCCTTGCATTTCCTTCCAGTCACTGCCCCAACCCCAACCCAAGTCATTGTGGCCCCAAACTCCTAATAGTCTACATTAGTGCGTCCCAGGGCCAGTTTCACCACCTTCCCCATCCCCTCCCCACCCCTCACCCCTGGACATTTGGAAACATTTTTGATTGTCACAACTTAGGGGCAGGGGGGAGGACTTTCTACTGTATATCTAAGGAGTAGACACCAGGGATGCTTCTAAACATCCTTCAGTGCACAGGACAGCCTCACAGCAAAGAATTACCTGGCCCAGAATGTCAGTACTGTTGAGACTGGGAAGCCCTGCCTAGATGAGTTTTGCTTAAAACCCAAATCTTACAGCTCCTGGTCCTGTGTCTTCCTAGGCCCACCTCTCTTGGTTGACCTTTCATCTGTTTTTCTCTAAGTAACATTTCGGGCAGTGAAAGTGACCAGTAGCCAAGTCTTAACAATTTTTCTCAAGATGTCACTTTTTAAAAAAATTCCTAAATTGAGAAAAGCTATATAGCAATGAATCCTGTAGGAAATAGAAAATATTGCTTCTCAATAGATTTCTAATAGTCAGGAATATTTTAGCAATGGGACAAGGCACGAGCTAGCACTGATTAAAAACGGACTGCTCTCTGCCTGTCCCTCGGCCCAGGGAAGCAGCCAGGCCCTCCTCGATCCTGGCTCCCCTAGAAGAGCTGTGCTGGGGTTGGGGGTGGGCGGGCAGAGGGCTCTTCCAGCAGATCGTTACTGCGTTCGTGCATCCGTTCATTCGTTCGTTGGTTCAGGGTGAGGCTCACAACTTGAACTTGATGCTCATGGCTTCTGTCCTCAGGGCCTTTTCCGAATTGGGGCTGGGGCCTCCAAATTAAAGAAACTGAAAGCTGCTTTAGACTGTTCTACTTCTCACCTGGATGAGTTCTACTCAGACCCCCACGCTGTAGCAGGTGAGCCGTGAGTTGTCGCCCTGGAGGTGGTGGGTGAACCCTGTCTCAAATCATCACTTAAAGATGCAACTTTAAGTGACAGATAAAACTGCAGTGGTCTCCTTATAGGTCTAAGTGACCAAAGCGAAATGACAAATAAAACTGAAAAGCGTGTGTATGTACACTTACACTGCACATATCTTTTCCATTCCTGTTTTTTGGGTTTTGTTTTGATTTCCTGATTAAGTAAAGGTGAAAGGTAGCTTATCATCCAAATATTTGGAGGCATGCTTGTATTTTCTTCCCTTTTATGCCCCAAATCTCCATCTGCCTAGAGAAGTGATGTCTATTAAGAAGATGGCTTTGAAGCTAATTTCATTTTCTATTGATCTCTCGATACATTTTACAAGGGATGGAAATTGTTTTATGAGTATTTCATTCTCCAACCGCTCCACCAGTTCATGATTTGTTCTGTACATTGTAAACCATTAGAGTTGAGATCTTTTCAGTTTGCAAATAATGCCTTGAGATTCCTGGCCTCACCCCTTGTCATGCTCAAAGAGAGTCTTAATCATTTCAGGTGCTTTAAAGTCCTACTTACGGGAACTGCCTGAACCTTTGATGACTTTTAATCTATATGAAGAATGGACACAAGTTGCCAGGTAAGTTTTAAGAACACTAAGATTTAAAAGTTGAAGGAAAAGATGTGATACTCTGTCCCATTTGTAAATTGTCTTGTTCTTAGGGATCACAGAATAACATTAAAATAGCATATTTTGAGCTGTGTGGGAACCTCAGCTGTGCAATAATTTAATACTGACATTATGAGTAACAGTAGTGCTTACTGAGCATTTACTGTGTGCCAACTGCTGCCGTGATCTTTATGCCCATAACTAGTGATATAAAAGGCAGAAGTTATTATCCTCATTTTACAGATGAGGAAACCAGGGCTTAGGCAGGAATGGAGTCAAGGTAACAGCAAGTAATTGGTGGAGCTGCAGTTCAGACCCAGACCTGTCTGCCCCAGAGCCTGAGGCCCCACTGGTTTATCCCTTCTCTTCCGTTTCCAGCTTCGGTCTGTCTTGAAGGAGATGGTTTTAAGCAAGACAACCTTGTTGCAAAAAGTTCTAAAGACATCTCTCCAGCCAACCAGCCCGCCTCCTTGTTAACTTGTCCCTCCCGATTCTGACTGGCTTCCTCTAAGAGGTGCCTAATTCCCCACCCATAAGGAAAGAGGAGCAAATCTCACCTCCTGTCCTAACCATTCCCCATCTTCAGACACTGTCCCCCCTCCCCATCAAACGGGTCGTGATGAGAAATCAGCTGTGTGGTGTGATGAGTTATACCTCGGTGAGGTGTGAGTCCGTCCCCCATCACTTTAACCAGGCATTTGAGCTTTTCTCTGTAGCTGTGGAAGGAGCGTAGATGGTGGGGATTTTTTAAATCAGTTGTGTCCTTGGGAGCCCAGCCTGCTATAATTACCCGTCTGTAGGAGGGCTGGATAAATGGGACCCACTGATCAGCGTCAGGTTGCGGGGTTCTGGGGTCTTATTAGGAAGGCTTCTCCACTCCTCCTAAGCCTTGACTCTTCTGTCTGTTCTGAGACTCCCAAGCTCGTCCCTAAGAGGAAATAAGCTGTTAGAAAAGGTTGTCCATTATTGGTGTGTTGGTTCTATGCTGGAGAAATATAGTCCCCACCCGGTGACAAATTGGCCTCTGAAGTATAATTATGTTGAACCCCTGCCTGTAACTTTCCAGACTGGTTCAGTTGGGGAGGGTATTTTAAGTCCAAAGGTTTGTTGTGTGGGCAACTTCTCACGCTCTCTCCCACGGATGGGCAGAGTTGACTCTGCTCTGCAGGCTCTGATCTGGCCCTTTCTGCATCTGTGAGAGCTTGCACATTGAAATTCTCTAGCAGAACAGCTCCTGCAATTGCTTCACAACAGAAAAGGGCTGCTTGGCCCAGAGCCTTTGAGCAGAATTGAGCGCCGGGAGAGAGCTGGGGGTCTGGGTACCTGGGAGCTTGGCCCGTTCATCTGTGCCTGGGCTGCACTGAAGACAGGAGATCTGGGCTCCGTGAAGTCGTACACGAATATACATGTTTTCTCAACAGAAGTTTCAGTGGTGAATGTCTCCTGAGTGCCAAGCAGTGGTCTAGCAGGTTTCGTACGGTTATACCTCTGAAATGTCACAGTTGCTTGGCAGAATTAATGTTCTTATCCCCACTTTGGCCCATCAGGAGACTGAGGTTGACTAGCTGCTCAGCGGATGTTCATTTGTTCATTAGTATTTGACTCCAAATTTGCTTCTTTCCAAAATCTGTGTTTTCCAACCGTGCTTTCTCTGTCAGTGAAGCATTGCTGTTAATGATGAAGTATTAATACAGGGATTCCGAACATGAGTATTCATACATGGTTGTGAATACACTTTTTTTTTGTCTCAGTGTGCAGGATCAAGACAAAAAACTTCAAGATTTGTGGAGAACCTGTCAGAAGTTGCCACCACAAAATTTTGTTAACTTTAGGTATGTAGGATTGGCATTCTGTAAATTAAGCCACCAAGGATGGTGAAGAACGTTTTAGTCTGCAACAGAGGGAGCATTTAATCCAAGCATGTTTGGCACAGCAAAAAATAATGCTTTGGAGAGTAACTGGGGGTTGCAGGGATGGGGTTTGATGCAAATCACTGTGATGCATCTGAAGCCCCCGCATCACGCCTGGCATTAATAGGTAAGTCACTTGATCATCTTACCACTGCAGCTACTGGGGAAAAAGTTCTGGTGAAAAGTTTGATTGATGGTATGTTGGATTTGGGGTCTAAATTATCCAGTATCTAAAAAGCAAAAATTAAACAATAGTTGTACTTTTTATAACATGTTTCATATGTGCTACAAGATTTATCCTAAGCAGAGCACAAATCATCCTGCTACAAACACTTTCAAGAACTGGAGATTATATGTTATTTTATAGAGTGACTATGTTTCTAAGGAAATTTACCGTGGAATAAATTCTAGAACTTAACCTCTGTTTTCACTTTGACTTAAAATGTAACCGCGGAGCAGTACAGAGAGAAGGGTAAAAGGTAGCCCCAGGTAATAAAGTCATTTAAGACCAAAGGAAATGCTGTAAGAGGATTTGGTCCGAAATGACAAATACTTTACCAGTGAAATTTCTGGTATGCTACCTGCTCTTTAATTTCAGTCTTGGATTCTATCGCTAAGCTACACAAAGTATTTTCTTTTAACGTCTTAAGTATCAGCCTTGCCTTGACGTTTACAGCATCCCTCATCAACTTAGTTAACACAGCCAGCTCAGAACTGCAGATGCTCTTACTCTGTTTGATGTCTAATGAAGAAACTGAATTACAGTTCTTGGTCCTTTGGGATTTGGCCTTTTATTTTGTTTCATTTGCTCATCATGATCTTTACTAATTGTTTTTTGAACAGGGAGTACATTCCTGTGGTTCAAAATCCAAAAGGTACACAGTGGGAAAAGCCCTCTCTTCTTCTCTCCCAGCCAGCTGCTTGCTCTCCCGAGACACAGTCAATGTTTTCAGTTTCTTATATATCCTCTCAGCAAAAAGTTGATGCCTATATAATCAGATATATATACACATATATATGTACAAACAGTTCTTTCTCTTACACCTGTCACTTATTTTTTTAAACCAAGTGGCCGTGTATTTTATATACATCATTCTCCTCCTTGCCTTCTTTGCTCAATATACATGCTGGAGATTTGTCTGTGTCAGTATGTAGTAACTTTTTATGGCTGCATAGTACTCCACTGTATGGATATACTGTAATTTACTTAATCAGCACCCTACTGATAGATGGTTGGGTTGTTCTTAATTTTTTTGCTTTTATAGTGCCATTCTTGTACAAAAAGAGAGTATATCCATATGATAAATAGGAAATTTTCATAATTACAGCCTCAAGCATTTTCAAATACAGTTTTCTTAAGCAATATACTTATATTTCTTTTTTTTTAATTATGTTTGTATTAAAAACACTGATCCTACTGTTAATCATATTATAGTCTGTTTCGGGGCAGGTAGATAGGGCATCAAGGAGAAATGGATTAGAAATACACAGCCTACAGAGATGGAATCATTGAGCCTTCCATTTGAGCTGTTTTCCCCTTCCAAGCCCTAAACAGTTTTCGGAAACCAAGAACTCAAGGAACCTGCAAAACACTTGGTCTGAGCCAGATGCTGACATAGTCACACTCTGTGATTGGCCCCTGAGCGATCCGGGACTGAGCCCCCGGGCGGAAAGGTACAGTGCCTCCAGATATTTCAGAGTAGGTGCTTTTCCCCTTCTCTCTTGCTCTGTAGGTATTTAATCAAGTTCCTTGCGAAGCTCGCCCAGACCAGCGACATTAATAAAATGACCCCCAGCAACATTGCAATCGTGTTGGGCCCTAACTTGTTATGGGCCAAAAATGAAGGGTGAGTAATCTTTCCCCATATCCTGTCGTTTTAATGTCTTCCTTTCCCACTTGATAGGAAGAACAGACATAGAACTCAGCCTTGAAGTTGATCTTCCCATTTCGCCGACTTTCTCGGGACACTGCTGTGGGCTGGGTCCTTCCTGTCCCAGAGGCTGGTCACACAAGGTGTAGAGAGACATTGTCCCGGTCCTCAGAGGGCCCCATTCTTGGGCAGTCAGGCAGATAAACGGCTGCACGTCTGTGTATCACAGACATTATAAAGGAAGAGGACGGTGATCCTTGTTGGAGGAACATGACATAGGCTGAGAAGTTCGGGGAGAGCTCTGCGTAGGCAGTGGCACTTTAGCTATTGATGGATGAATGCTTTCCTGTAGATGGGATCTGAATGAGTCACGGCATGGTGGCCGAGAAAGGGCCTGGTCTCTGTGTTTAGGGGGTGTCACGTGGTCTCGTATAACTTGAGCACAGGGCACGTGAGACTGTGGCCAAGGTTTATGAGGCCACAGCCAGGTGATGAAAGATCTCATATTTCTTGCTGAGATGTTTGGCCTTAGTTGATGGATCACGGTTGTGGGTAGGGGAGGCATCAAGATTTCTCAGCAGAAGAATGACTTGATCAAATTGCATTTAGAGAGAGAAATTTTTGAAACTGAGAATTGTAGATTGACTAAAGCCGAGGGATCGGGGAGGTCAGCTAGAAAGCTCGTGGGAAATCACACATTGATGTCCACTCTGGTGGCCTTATGATGGTCTCACAAATAACCTTTTTCAATATACATAGATTTATTTACTTTATTTTTATTTTATTTTTTGAAGGGGGTAGGGAATTAGGTTTATTTATTTATTTTTGACGGAAGTACTGAGGATGGAACCCAGGGCCTCGTGCGTGCTAAGCACACACTCCACCCCTGAGATAGACCCAACTACCCCCCAAAGATAACCTTTTGAAGTAGGTACTTTTGTCCTCATTGTTACAGATGAGGACGTGCAGACTGAGAAAGGACAAATCATTTGCTGAAGGTCACACAGCAGGGCAGCGGTGGAGACCACAGCCTGTCCTTAACCTCCGCCTCCCTTCCCTGCCTCCCATCACTGCCAGTCAGCTTTATAAAATCATGAGTGGTTCAAGTTTCCATGATAAAAGAGCAGGGACTTTCTGAATCAAAATCTTTCTGCCTTGGGCGGAAAGTATCGCTCCAGGGGTAGAGTGCAGCCAGGTCGGGGTAACTCTTCTTGCTGGGTGATCCCTGCCACACCCAGAGGCCAGCGCCTTGTGGATTTAACTTCTGCATCAGCACTTCACTATTTTATCCTTTAAAAATAAATCAAAATAAATTGCTGTGACTCAACCTACAGAAATGAGAGGCTGCCTAGGGGAGGTGTGTTAACCCTGTGAACTTCCTTTGCAGAACACTGGCCGAAATGGCGGCAGCCACGTCCGTCCACGTGGTCGCGGTCATTGAACCCATCATTCAGCACGCCAACTGGTTCTTCCCCGAAGGTAACTTCCTCTCCAAGCTCACTGACTCCCAGAGCAAGAGAAAAATAGTTTTAAAAGTCTTTTTACAAAGCAGATACATCAGTAATCCCTTCATGGTGCCAGAATTGGTTTCACTTTTTCATGATTCTTTTTAGACTATGTGCATTCATATTTTGACATAATAGGAGCCACATTATTGTGTATTTCATTTGTTTCACTCAACAGAGCTTCCATTGTTCAGCGAGTGTATATGGACTATTCACTAGGTGCCATGTGTTTGCGGGTTAGACATACTGTCTTCCCTGGAGGAACTTGGCCCCTGGAGAAGGAGGCCTCCTAATCAGAGAAATTGTAATACATAGAAAATCAGAAGGAGGGTGGATGGAGAATGACTTGACAAACTCAGATGCTGGGTGCAGAGAGCCAGGGATTGCTTTAGAGAAGGGACATCAGATATGCAGGGGTCCTCAGAGGTCCCATGGCCCTCCTTTGGAGGTCCTGATTGGACAAGTGTTGGGAGTCTGGACCTCCCACCCCTGCTTTGCCCAGAGCAGCCCTGCTGTCACATCCTCTGCGTGTGAGCTCTGTGGGGCCTGGGCGTGCACATCTCTTCATCACCATCGACTCCCTGATCAGGAGTCTCCCCACTCATGTAAGTTTGTGCGGTCAGTGTTGGATAGATGAGTTAATTTTGGTGCTCTGCCCAAGATTTCCTTTGAGAAAACGAGTCTTCGAAAACTGCCCCGGCAGTATGGAGTTAATGTTACCCTTTATTTTTATTTAACATCCAGCTGTGAATTTCTTTTTACTTTTTTTTAACGATTCAGATAACCTGAGCTCATGGTCCTTTTCTGTAGTCCATGATTTTTTTTTAACACAGAAGAAAGCAGGGGAGTTATGTAACTTATATTCTGAGTCATCCCCCCTCCCGTATCTCTAGTTTTCTTAGTTTGAGAAACCGTCCTTAAGAAGATGCGCGTGCCTGGGGCTTCCACTTGTGAAGCAGTGAGGGCTGGTGGACGGCAGAATGAGGCTCCTATTCCACTGGGTGTTTCCAGCCTCTCTCAGCCCCTGTGCTCCGTGTCTCATATACACTTGTTTCTTTTCCTTCTGGCAGAGGTGGAGTTTAACGTATCGGAAGCGTTTGTACCTCTCGCCACCCCCAATTCCAATCACTCGTCTCACACTGGAAATGACTCTGACTCCGGGACCCTGGAGAGGAAGCGGCCGGCCAGCATGGCGGTGATGGAAGGAGACCTGGTGAAGAAGGAGAGGTGTGTGTAGACCCGTTCACTTTCACACCAGCGGTAGATGTCGCGTAGAGGAACTGCTGAACCCGTGGTCTCGGGCGCTGCCTCTGTGGACTTGTAATCCGGGAGCGACCCACTCGGCACCCAGGCCTGTTACAGTCCAGATAGTTTCAGGAATTCCACTCTGGTTCATCCGAAACGTGAATCTGAGCCCAAGCAAGCATGCAGTTTTGTCAGTTAACACTCGTCCCTCGTGCATTCAAGCTTTACATGGTGGTCTGTGAGAGCCCCACACGGTGGCATCACACACATGTGATGTGATGTGATGGTAGTGGCATCACACACATCTAAGTGTATCTGATTGGGGGAAAAAGAAAAAGGGGGAAAAAAGTGAAACACTGTGGACGTATGTCCCAAAGTGAGTGTGAGAACAGCCCACCTCTCACAGCAACTTGTGTGACTTGGTGTTTAAAGAGTCGTAGTTTTAGTATGACTTGGCTCCTCCCTGGAAGCCACCCACTGAATCTGCTGTTCAGCTGGAGAAACCTCAGTTTTTGCCAATCCTGGAAGGAAAAAACATCTGTGTTGAACTTAGTGAGAGACAGTACGTCTCTATGCTAGGCTCCATCAGTGATTTTCGAAAATTATTAAGGCTATTTGTGGTTTTTGCCTTTGATGCCAATCTATCCAACATGTGTAGTGAAATGCCACTGTGTTCCCCAGTAATGCTAAGAGTTAGAAGTAACATGCTTTTCTCGCATACATGTAATAATAATGTTACTGGAAATAGTTTTATACTAAAACTAAACGAGCTCTTATTTTAATTACCCAATCTTACAGTGAGGTGGATTTTTTTTAAGTTTGTTTTTGTTTTTTGTTTGTTTTTTTTAACCCACAGCAAAGAAAAAAGCTTTACTTTTCTCTTCTGTCCCTCTGGAATTCACATTTATTCTGTGCAAAAGTTTTACATCTCTGAACCCACTTCCGTAGTGCCCCCGATGACAAACACCAGCCTCCACAAAGTCAGCCTTCGTATATTTTAAGTTACAACGTGCAATGTTACGGGTCTAGGTAGCACACAATAAACAATTCTCAGCTGTCTTCCTGGATAGGATTCTCCCTGCCGACTGACCCAGTAAACACAAGCTCAGAGAGCCATGTATCTTTTTACTTTTTGAACTGGGAAAAAATTTTACAGTTCATACACCAGTGGGCTTCAGTGATGAGTGAGTCTTCCTTCCAACTTATCCTCCAGCCACCACCCCAGCCACTTCTCAGAAGCAGCCATTGTCCCAGTGCTATGCATCCTTCCGGATGCAGTCTTTGCATACACGTAGACCAGCGTGTCCACATCTCAGCCTGAGAGGCAGTGTGATGTGACGGCCTTACGCTGCCACACTTCCACACTCGCCTTCCACCTTGATGCCCAGGCGCCCGGCGCCGAGCTGATGGGCTTGTACGTAGCGCTGTAGAAAGACACAGGCCAACTGACGTCACTCACTCAGATGAGACCTGCCTGTTTGCTTTCAGCTGCTCACACCCACTTTGAGAGAGGACACTGATCAGTACCAGGTCCACATTTAAAGCCAAGTCGAGTCGCTTGCCTGGGTGATAGGGATGACCGTTAATCTGGTCCTTGCCGCTTCACTGCATGCCGGGCAACTTGGGTGGCTGTCCCCGCGTGCGAGGTTGAACACGCGCGGACCGATGGGCTTCTGTGTCAGTCGTTGGCTCGCAGGTGTGTTGACTGTTTCTTCTCTCTGTGTAGCTTTGGTGTGAAGCTTATGGACTTCCAGGCCCCCCGGCGGGGTGGCACTCTAAATAGAAAGCACGTATCCCCTGCTTTCCAGCCGCCACTCCCGCCCACAGATGGCAGCACCTTGGCTCCAGCGGGCCCAGAGCCCCCTCCCCAGAGCTCTAGGGCTGAAAGCAGCACAGGGGGTGGGACTGGCCCCTCCTCTGCGGGCACCCTGGAGCAGGGCCCGAGCCCGGGCGACGGCAGGTAAGGGGCCGGCTTCTGCTGGCAGTGGGTGCTGGACGCCCCAGCCTTCTTACAGGTGCTGGCCTGCGGGCGTGGCCTCCGTGCCCAGAGGATCGCTCAGCACGGAGTGAACCCAGTTAGCCTTCACTCCTCCGGTTGGCAAAGGATGGAAATAAAGACTGCAGAATGCTTGCTTCCTTTCCTGTTTTCCAAAGAAAGCAACATTTGTTTGCATTCTTTACCATACCGCTTTGGTGCTGGAAGCCGGAAGCCAGCAGGTGTCTAGCAGTCCTGTCTGATGTGTGCTCATTGTTTGTGTACCACTTGCTTGTTGTCACCCAGTACACTAACTAGCCAGCATTTGACTGTAACAGGCTGTTAGGTTATTGTATTCCTGGCATTCATGCATTCATTCACTCACTCACCCATCCATCCATCCACCCATCCCATCAGATTTACTGAATAACTAAGTAATATATCCTGGATGCTGTGCTGTGCACACTAGGTCACTAGGCTATCCCCAACCCCTAGCTTTCAGTCTTGTAGGGGCGCTGATCCACGAGAACAAGGTGGAAAATATGATGATTGGCTTTCTTAAAAGGCTCTTTTGTTCCTTAACCTTTTAATTAGCCACCTGGAGTGGACTACAGCTATACAGTAATTTTAAGGAAAAAAAAAAAACCAAAAAACTTTTGAACTTGAGACTTTAATTTCACTGCATAAATCCAGTGCTCTACTCTGCCCAGGCAGATGACCCCCAGAGGCCACTTCAGGTGGTGTCCCGGGTCGCTCTGAACTGGCAGCTGCTGTAAAAGTTGAGCCCCTCTTGTAGGTGCGGACATCTTTATTGCCTGGGTCTAGCCTGGCTACCTGTAAAGCACTACACGATCGTATAGAAGGTGAAATAAATGCTGAAAACCGGCGTGGCCGGTTCATCCACGTCCTTTTTTCTGCCCTGAGATGAACCTGCCTTGGGAGAACTCCCTTACCTCATCTTTAGGTGGGGAGAGAGTGCCGACAAGATAAGAATCTTGTTAAATCCTCATAGCTGAACTCTGCGGGGCATATGCTTTCTTGAATTCCTTTCTTCCCTCATAATTTGAGGAAGTTCACTCTTTGGTTAAAAATAACTAAACCTTCAAACTTCCTAGTGCTTCGTGTGCACATCATAAGCTCCACACTGGCCTGTCCATTAGCTGTTACTGTATGTGTATTCGTTTTGGCTTAAGTTTTTTTCTTTTGAGAAAAAAACTCTTAGCAAATGCAGACTTTTTCATTTACCTGGAGTGTTCAGTTTGTTTAATCAAGGCTAAATACATTATTTAAGACAATAATCAGTCTTCACTGCAGAAGGACAAATAGAATCACTTTGCTCTTTGTTTTGTATGTTCTGCAGATATTTTTGTGTACATTTCACTAATGGCATTCACTCTTCAGTGACCGTGACAAAATGGAGCTAAAAAGTTTAGTATAAAAAGTTCTGAGCCAGGAATTAGTAAACCTGAGTTCTGATCTCTACCCTGATACTAACCGACTCTGGACCTTGAGCCATCATTTAGCCTCTCAGAGTTTCTATTTCTTCAAGTCCAAATCATTGATGATAATTGAGTGCTTTGTCATTTAGTTTTGTCCAGTGTATATGTCAAAGTTTCATTATTTTGAAGTCCAAAAGCCCTTTCATGTTTTCTTTTTTTTTTAATATTGCCCAATTGAAGTACCAGCAGACCAGAACTTGAAATTTCTCGTTGGTTGCTGCAAAATGGGCCCTATTATGATATTTGACTGGCAGAGTAGTTGGAAGACAGTCTGATGCAATGAAGCTCATAAAATCTGTAGTCCTGTGTGACACCAAATAAATACTAGCTTTATAGACCCAATGGGAGCTATTTAAAATTGCAGATTACCTCCTTGCTGGCTGCAGGGAAAACTCTGGTCAGAACCTTATATTTTACAGCAGGCTTATTAGCTTTTCTAGCTGGGAGTGCGTGACATCTAATTGGTCTTCTGTTCCCCATAGTCCCCCAAAGCCCAAGGACTCTGCACCGGCACCTGCCCCTGCACCAGGGAGAAGCAGCGGTCAGGCGGCCTCCGGCCAAAACCCAGCCCCGGCAGCTGCCGGCTCCCATCAGCTCTCGGTCGGCCCGGCGCACAACTCTGCTGGCCCAAGCCCTCACACTCTGCGCCGAGGTAAGCGGCCACCTTTACTCTGTGCCCTCGGGGAGGGATGACAGACCTCCCCGGGTCCGTGCAGGGATCAGGTTGAGAAGCCTTGCAGCTCATCGGTTCCACGTCTGTTCTAAAATGGCAAGCCGAAAAGCCAGTCGTTAAGGAAAAGAATCATCAAAGGGAGATGAAAAAATGGGGAGCAGGAAAGCATACATTTATGAAGATGTTCAAGCTGCAAAGCTTAGCAAATGGTCATTTCTCCAAAAACGCTCTCAGGTTCCCAGGACTCGGCGTTGCAAGCCCCCACTCTGTTTTGGGACTGCCCCAGCTAGGCTTCGTGGGTCTGCAAGCCCCCGGACCCACCGGCCTGGGGTCGGGGCCTTCCGGGTCCCCCATTCACATGGAATCTGAATTGTTCCCACCTGGGCCCTCTAGTTCCCCGCCCAGCAGCTGGGGGAATGGCTTTTTTTTTTTTTAATTGAATGAAAGATTCTTCAAATTCTGTAGTTCTTTGCTTTACGATTTTCAAAAGTTTCACATACATGGTTTCATATAATTCCATAATAATGCCCTTTTTTCCCCTATTCTTACGTGCCTCTCCCCACTGCCCTCTCCTCACTGATAGCCACTGGTTTGTTCTCTGTGTCTGTGAATCTGCATCTTTTTTTGTTTTATTCACTAGTTTGTTGTGTTTTTTTAGATCCCACGTATAGTATTTGTCTTTCTCTGTCTTATTTCACTGAGCATAATGCCCTCCAAGAGGAGAATGGCTTTAAAACACAAAGCAGGTCGTGTCACCTCTGGGCGGAACTCTCCAGTGGCTTCAGTGCCAACCCCCGACCATCACCCTGTGGGGTCTGGCGGAGCCCAGCTCTTACCCCTGCCCCTCTCACTGCACCTTCAGCCTCGCTGGTCTGCTCTCTGTTCCTCGGATGTACTAAGCTTTTTCCCTCTTTAGAGCTTCTGCACATGTTTTCTCTTCCAGAACAGTCCGTCTCACTTCTTCAAGTGGTTCCTTCTATTTTACTTTTTGTTTTATTGGGGTAAGAACACAACATGAGATCTACCCTCTTAAATATTTGTGTACGGTGTACAGTCGCGTACTGTGAAGTGTACAGTACAGTGTTGTACTGCAGGAAGTGTTGTACCGCAGCTCTCTAGAAGTTATCAGACATAATCGAAACTTTATGCCTGTTGACTACCAGCTCTCCATTACGCCCCATCTTTACTCCCTCCCCCCAGCCCCTGGCAGCTTCCTTTCCACTCTCTGAGTCCAAGACTTTGTGTTCGATACCTCCTATAAGTGCAGTCATGCAGTGTTTGTCCTTCTGTGACTAGCTTATTTCACTTAGTACAATGGCTTTAAAGTTTGTCCATGTTGTTATATATGACAGAATTTCCTTGTTTTAAGGCTAAGTAATATTCCATTGTATGTATATATCACTGTTTTTTTTTTTTAAATCCAGTCATCCATCAGTGGGCATATAAGTTGTTTCCACATCTTGGCTGTTGTGAATAATGCTTCTGTGAACATGAGTGTGCAAAAAGAAATTTCTTCAAAAGCCTGATTTCAGTTCTTTTGGATAAATACCCAGAAGTGAGATTCTTGAATCAATATGGTAGTTCTATTTTTAATTTTTTTAAGAGCCTCCAAACTGTTTTCCTTAATGGCTGTGCCAATTTACATTCCCACCAATAGTGTACAAAAGTTTCAGTTTCTCTGTATTCTCACCAACACTTTGGTCTTTTCTTTTTTTTTAAAAGCCATTCTAACAAGTGTGAGGTAATGTGTCATTTTGGTTTTGATTTGCATTTCCCTGATTGTTAGTGCTATTGAGCACCTTTTCATATGCAATTTTTGGCCATTTTTATCTCTGGAGAAATGTCTTTTGAAGTCTTTAGTCCATTTTAAGACCAGGTTGTTAGTGTTTTTGCTATTGAGTTACAGGAGTTCCTTATATTATTTTGGAAATTAACACCTTATCAGATATACAACTTGAAAATATTTTCTCCCTTTCTGTAGGTTGTCTTTTTATTCTGTTGATTGTTCCCTTTGCTGTACTGAAGCTAATTAGTTTGATGTAATTCCACACATCTATTTTTGCTTTTGTTACCATGGCCAACACCAGTGTTATGAAACTTTCCCCTCGTGTTTTCTTCAGAGATTTGCAGTTTCAGGTCTTACGTTTTAAGTATTTAATCCACTTTGAGTTGACTTCTGTATATCGTGTAAGATAAGGGTCCAGTTTCATTCTTTTACACGCAGGTATCCAGTTTTCCCAGCATCATCCTTTCCCCATTGTGTATTCTTGGTGCCCTGTTGACGATCAGTTGACCAGATGAGCGTGGATTAATTCCTGCTCTCTCTGTTCCATTCTACACGGGGTTGCTTCTTATCATTCAGGTCTCAGCTCAAAAACTTCCTCCCCCGTGAGCCCTCCTGGACTGCCCAGTCTGAGCTGATGACCACTGCCAACCCTACCACTCACACAAGTCATTCTCTGTCATGTCACTCTATTCCTTTCAGGGCATTTTTCTCCATCTGAAATTTTTTATTTTCTTTTTTAGTAGATTGCCAGTCTTCCTTTGTAGCTCTCACATAGCTGGGATTTTACCTGCCCCATATGTTCCAATATTCCGATCCCTGGGACTGTGTCACAGAGAGGGCCCTCAGTAAATATGTGTGGTCTGGGAGCTCCAGGTGCCTCTTAGATCTAGAACGACTTGGGATATTTGGCAGATGCAGATGTTTTTGGTTGTCACAGCCAAGAAGGGGAGTGGTATCAGCATCTCGTGGGTGGCGGCTAAAGCCAATTAAATTCCTTGTGAACCAGGATGCCCCATGTCTTAACTCCCAGTTGCATTTATCAGCGTATGGGTGGTCTTCAATATAAAATGACACATATTTTTGAATTTGATATAATTTTAGACCTTAAGGAGAGTTGTAGAGATAGTATTGAAAATGCCCATATAGTCTTCACTGAGCTGCTCTTAATTTTAACATTTTACAGAACAACTATTGAAATCAGGAAACTAACATTGATACAGTGAAATTGGCTAAACTTCAGGCTTTGACCAGATTTCCCCAGTCTTTCCTGTAAAGTTTTTCTTTCTGCCCAGCATCAATCCAGAATCCCATGTTGCATTTATTTTTTTAAGGTGATGATTTAATATATGTGAAATAATTACCACAATCAAGTGGTTAGTATCCAAAATATATCAGAAACTCATACAATTCAATAGCAAAAAGGCAGATAGCCCAATTAAAAAATGAGCAAAGAATACATTTCTGAGTCCATATTCTTTTATTATCCTCTCTGTAACAGGACTGGGGAAATAGAATAAATAACAGTTTTGCTAATGGAAAATCTCTCTTTTTTTTTTAAATAGACTTTATTCTTTTAGAGCAGTTTCAGGTTCACAACAGAATTGAGCATAAAATATAGAGTTTGCACATAGCCTTCCCCATCCACACATACATACTCCCCTACCCTCAACACCCCTCATCAGTGTGGCATATTTGGTACAACTGAAGAACCAACATGGACACGTTATTATCAACCAAAGTCGCTAATGGAAAATCTTAAGAAGGTTCTCCTCCAAGCCACCATCATCTTCATCTGTATCCCAACTGATGCTTGCGGGAAATTAGGTCTTTTCTCCCTGGGTGCCAGCTATACCCATGCTTTCCAGTTGAGATTCCTTCATAGCCCCGTTAGGAGTCTTTCCTGCAATCATAGATCTCCGGCTTCCTCATGGAAGAGTTTGCTCCTTTGTGCGCTATGCCCCACACCGTGGACCCCAGCTCAGTCTCCTGGCGCCTTCATAGGTGGCCTTAGACAAGGCCTGCCTTTCTCCCAGCCTGGCCTCCACCTGGGACTCGGACCTTGTCACCCCACTCTCATGCGTGCTCTCCTAATTCCCTCTGCACCCTTAAAGGTCAGGAATGATCTTTTATTCAATATGAATTTACCATTAATATTGCTGAGAACAGAGAGCTGTAAACTTTTCTTTCTAAATTGCCTATAATAGCTAGAGAACTGCTAATATTCCAGATTCTTTCCTTTGTCAGCTTGCTGTGGGAAAAGTTCTTTCAAGTTCCAGGGTCAAAAGTTCTAGGCCAGCAGAGCAGAGGAGACTTTATGCCCTTTCCATTTCTGAATTCTGAGCCCTGCGAACAGGGAGCCAGGCGGTGTAGGAAAGAGGGAGAGGTAAAAAGAGTCCAGGGAGGCCACAGGCCGTGGTGGGAGCCTCTGTTCTGCCACCTAGCAGCTGTGTGACCTTTTACAAACACTTGACCTCTCTGAGCCTCCGTTTCCTGCACCGTGAAATGGATATAACAACGCCTGTCTGGCAGTGAGTTTATGAGACTTCGATGAGACAGTCTATGTAAAGAAAGAGCTCAGCTGGGTCCCAGTGATGTGTTAAGTGAATGATACACGTTCATTCTTCCCTTCATTTCCCTCTCCCTTTCTTAGGGGATGAGTAGGATCTTAGCAGAATTTGAGAAATGCTAACGTCTCTCCTTTCCACCCGCCCCTCCCAGCCCCAAATCAGTCTCCAGACTTGTTTCTCCCTCCTATCCTGCCCTCCTCAGTACCAAATTCCCACCCGGCAGTGATGCTGATCTCAGCTGGTGTAGGGATGACAGCGATGTGACTCGGCTCTCCTCAGAGAAGTAATTCTAAGGCAGCCTTCAGATTTGTACTTTTATTTAGAATATATCTATTAGCACAGATGATTCTGGAATTCATAGAATTTCTGTTACCAAAAAAAAAAAAAAAATCAAGCTCTCTAGAAGAAGATGGCTTAGGGCAGGGGGCCAGGGTTATGTACTGGCAGACCAGTCATGCTTAGGGGGCCCTCCTTAGCTGCTCTTGCTTCTCTGCGTTTCTTCTCTCGAGAGAAGGGTGCTGACTGGCAGGATGCCAAGTGGGTTTGGAGCAGAGACTCCACATAGGTGAGGCAGCCTCTATTCACTGAGTGCTCTAATTATTGAACTTTTAAAATGAGAGGTCTTTAAAGACCTATATGTGTATAATGTACTTTTAAAAAATAACCTTTTTATTTGGAAATAATGTTAATTTTAAAATTTATTTTATTTTATTTTTTTTGCCAGGGGTGGGGAGGTAACTAGATTTCTTTGTTTGTTTGCTTGTTTTTAAGTGGAGTTACTGGGGATTGAAGCCAGGACCTCCTGCAGGCTAAGCAGGTGCTCTGCCACTGCACTAACCCCCCCCCCATAATTTTTAGATCTACAGAAAAGTTAGAAAGATAGTCTGAGAGCTCCTCTATACCCCCCTCCCACTTTCCTCTATTTTTAACATCGTGCATCACCATGGTACATTTATCACAGCTAAGAAACCAACACTGGTACATTTTGGTACATTGCTACTAACTAAACTCCGTACTTGGTTCAAATCTCACCCGTTTCTTCCACTAACAGCCATTTTCTGTCCCTGGCTCACTCCCACTAGGAGAGCACATGGCATTTATTCCTCACAGCCCCTTACTCTTCTTTGGTTTGGGCCAGTTTCCAGGCTTCTTTTGTTTTTTTATGGCTCGCCAGTTTTGGGGAGTACTGGTCGGGCATTTTGAAGACAGTCTCTCAATTTGCGTTTTTCAGATGTTTTTCTCATGGTGAGACTGAGACTGTGGATTTGGGGGAGGCGGACCACGGGGTGAAGGGTCCCCAGACCGCATGGTGGTGGGTACTGATCTCGGCATGGCTCACACGGCGAGGTTAACCTCGGTGCCCTGGTCCAGAGGGCGTTGGCCATCACCGGGCTGCTCTTACTGACAGGTGTTTTCCCTTTGTGCAGCCGTTAAAAAACCTGCTCCAGCACCCCCGAAACCAGGAAACCCACCTCCTGGCCATCTCGGGGGCCAGAGTTCTCCGGGAACGTCTCAGCATCCCCCCAGCCTGTCACCAAAGCCGTCCACCCGAAGCCCTTCCCCTCCCACCCAGCCCCCGGGCCAGGCCCCGGGCCAGCCGTGCGCCGCCTCGCAGCCCTCTGCACCCCGGAGGTACTCCAGCAGCCTGCCTCCGATACAAGCTCCCAGTCACCCGCCGCCGCAGCCCCCCACGCAGGCCACGCCGGCCGCGCTCGCCAAGCCGGGGGAGCACGGACTCGAGCAGGCACCCCACACCCCTCCCCAGACGCCAACGCCCCCCAGCACCCCGCCCTTAGGGAAGCAGCACCCCGGCCTGCCGGCTGCCCAGACCCAGGCGGTGAGCAACCCCGAGGCTGCGGCGCTGCACGGAACCTTACCGAGACCGAGACCAGTACCGAAGCCGAGGAACCGACCCAGCATGCCGCCACCCCCGCACCCTCCCGGCGCCCACCCCGCCGGCGAGGGCAGCCTCAGCATCGCAGCGCCCACCGCTTCCAAAATAGTAACGGGTGAGTAGGCAACGGGTTCACGCACTTCCCCTTCTCCACTCGACCTTGCTTTTGCAGGGCTCCCCTTCATTTAGCCTTTGATTTCTATCAGGGGTGGGCAAACTACAGCCAGTGCCCAAATCTGGCCCCCAGCTAATTTTTGTAAGTAAAGTTTTATTAGAACATAGCCACGCCCATTCATTTACGTACTGTCTCTGGCTGCTTTTGTGCTAAAACAGCAGAGTTGTGTAGCCTTCTCAGAGGTCGTACGCTCTCACAGCCTTAAAAATTACTACCTGGTTCTTGGCGTTTGCCACCCCCTGATTTATAGGTTCATTATGTGTTTACAACCGTCTATGGTTACATTTTTCTAGGTCTAATGTCCTAATCCAGGTGGAAGGTATTGTGCAGCTTGAGCATGACATTGATTTCTTAGTGAATTCCTCGTTAAAATGCTTGTTTTCCTTTTAAGAGTAAAAATATTCATAGTAAGTGAAGCATCTCAGGTATAACCATGAAAAACGTGGTTTGTGCCAAACTGGATGCCCTGGGAAATGAGATTTGGGGGCATGACCCTATGAGAGTGCTAGCCTCTCCTGGCAAAGGAGAGAAGAATCAAGATTTTCCCATCATTCCATGGAAACCTGGTTTATGTGTTGAAGATTGTACAGATTTTACCTACCTAATGGAATTTTTTAAAATAAGCAGTCTAGAGCATAACTATTTTATTTAATTACGATTTTAAAAAATATTTCCATCCCAAGTGTTCTACTTTACTATTTGATTTAAGGATGGATGGATGGATTTTTTTTAATGCGTTTTTAAAAATGGTAATTAGGAGCTTTGAATCATTTCTTAGAACAGCCTAGTCTTAAATTTTTCGAAGTGGGGCTGTTCTTAGAGAAGAAGTTTAAATATATCTCTGGGCCCTTCAACCGTACAGAGTGACTTTTCTGCTGAAAATGAGCAAAACGTACACCCTGAACTGGTACCCCAAATGATGAGGGTTAACCGACTAGTCTCTCTTTTGATAACTTTTTTTTTTTCAGGAGAATAAGGTGTGATTCGTGTGTGTTATAAATTGTTAACTTTTTTTCTGATGACACCTCAGCTTTTATTTTTTTAAAACAAAGTCGCATTGGTTTGTTTGTTTGTTTGTTCCCCACTAGATGCCCTTCCTAGTGCCCTCACAGGTGGGGAAGGTTTCCAGGACTAAGGTCTGTAACCACCCCCAAGCAGCTTGCCCGCAGCCCCAAATGCTCCTGCTTAGCATACGTGTTTTGCATACGTGCTTTTGACTTTGTGCTCAGGAGCAGCCATCTGACCCCCTGCCGTCCGTTCTGTAGTGTGTAGACATCACTTTTTGTTTTTATCAGAAGCACTTTGAGCTGCAATGCTCCGAATTCAAGAGGTAGATGTCAGTAGCTTGCAAGCCGATTTCCAGCTGCTCAGATAAGATAGTAAGACATGTCTCCTTTCTTTCTGGTAAGCTCTTCAAAGATGTTCTGCTCTCCTCGGCGTGATTCCCCTGTCATTGACTGGCTGGTCAGCATTCATCCAACCAAAGAGGATTCGGGTGCAGTTAGCACAGAAAATTGTGTCCCCTGTGTCTTAAGCTTTTAATTTTTAATTTTACATCTTAGTGCAAGTTAACTGCATGGTGCTTCTTAATTTGGTGTTTGAAATTCGCAGGACCAAAAAAAAAAATCTTCCTCCAAAGATCCCACACTAAATTTCTTTGCATTATGGCTTACTTACATTTTTGCTTTCTTAAACCATAGGAGCTTTTTGAAAGATACAGTGAGGGTCATCTGAATTTTGCCTTTAGGTCCATATTTGGATGGCATAAGGCTCTCGTTGTGTATATAACTGCTTTAATCAGCTGATCTGAGCCTTAAGCTGTCAGTGGGCTACTTAGCCAGAATTTTCACTGCTTTGGTTTGACCAAAACTTTCTGTAGAAACCAGAAGGGGAAACACACAGTGGGGCATAGGTGTGATTCCACCTTCCTGACTCCTAGATGATAAACCCAAAAGTCTGGGATTGCCCAGTGGGGTGTGGAAGTCACTTACAGAGTGAAATGACTAAATACCATTGTTATCTGGGGTGTATTTATTCCAGAAGGTTATTTTATTGATCTGCTATGCCACTGTAATGGTCTGTACTTTACAATTGTCAGATAAGTGAAATTTTATATTACTGATGCTTTTCCTTAGGATATGAGCTAAATATTTGAAAACCAATCTATGCTTTGAATTTTCCTAACTCAGGAGATTCCACAGGTCACCACAGTTATCTTTGTATTACAGAATTAATTTTTAATTTCTTAAAATCCCCTAGATTGCCGTTAGAAGTGCACAAAAAGCTAGAATTTAATAGAATTCGTGAATCTGCGGTGGGGGAGGGTATAGCTCAGTGATAGACCACTGTGCTTAGCATGCACAAGGTCCTGGGTTCAATCCCCAGTACCTCCATTAAAAATAAATAAATAAACCTAATTACACCCCCTCCAAAAAAAGAGAAAGGATTCATGAATCTGCTAGTGTTGATCATGCTGCTATTAACCGATCTCGGGTAAAGCCATTGGGTATTTCAGGAAGAGAAAAAATGTGACTTCCTTGGACAGGTAGTCGTTTATAATGACATCATGATTTCACTTGGAAAACTCTGTACAAATTCCTGAAAACAGGTTATTCGTTATCGTTTAGAGAATTTGACCTTAAAAATTGAATTATGGCCGGGGGGATTAAGATAAGCTCCTTGGAGATTTTTGCTGCCAAACAGGTTTGGCCGCCAGTTCCTGGCAGCCCGGCACCAGAGAAAGGAGAGACTCTGCTGTCCGCGTTTCGAATCTCTTCTTCATCGTCCCTCAAGAAAGCAGTAGAATTTGAGCTTCGCAAGGAAGAGCGTTTACATCTTGCTGTTTTTAAAGTAATAGATTTTAGCCAAGAGTGTTCTAATTTAAACATTTTATTAAATAATTTAGATGTATGACCTGCCATATTCAGTAAGAACTGAAATTGGAATATATAATGGTAAGGAAAAGGCACCTGATTGGCCGAAGCGTTTTTGCTACATGATGATCATGTTTGCGCACTAATGCCTGTCGTTAACCGGTCACTCTAACCCTGCCTGCTTGCATCCCCACTAACAGTGCATGCACTCCAGGCGGCTGGCCGCGTCGTGCTTGCTGTCAATGACTCCGAATACTAAGCGTGCTCACAGACGTGCCCCAGCTGGTCACCTTGTTACCTCTTTAACTTCCAGTCTTTTCTATACCAGGCAGGCTTGAGGGGTAGTGGAAAGAGCCCACACCAGAATCACACACGCCTGAGTTAAATTTTCAGCTCTCCGTGTAACAGCAGTCCCGGCACAACCTGGTTGATCTGTAAAATGGTGACATTTGTGAGAATAACTTTCAAAGGGGTTACATCAGATAACATACGAAAAACATCTTACAGTTCTTACTACACAGTGGGTCTAAATAAATGGTCGCTATTTATGATCATTTTTATGAAAAAATAGATAACCAGAGTTAGATATGAGGTTCGCATGTCACCATTTTAAAAACTCATATGCCTGGACCCAGACGCAGGCGGTCCGGAGCCCAGGCATTCATGTTTTGATTCTGATACACCAGTTGGTGGTGGGTTAAAAAGACAGTGTTCTGGAGTAACAGGTAGGTATTTCTTAATTTGGTGAGCCCCAGAATTCCCTCGGAGTCGTTCTTCCACTGCGCGGTGGTAGAAGAAAGCACATTGTTGTCATTAGACACCCGACACTGTGCTGGCCCTCACAGTCTTGGCTCTCTAAAATTAAACTCTTTTTATATCATGAAAGTAATGCCTTTTAAAAATAGTTCAGATCCTAAAGCAAATTGGGGAACTAGAAATAATACGAAATCACCCTTCCAAGATTGAAAAAGTCCACTTTTCATATTTTATTTTTTCCTTTCTAGGTTTTCTTTTTTTTTTCCCTGAAAGGCAAAGGAGGGGTGCATGATCGTAACTATTTGGCACATACAGATTTTGATCTTGTGTTTTTATTTCACTTTACCTCATACACTCTTTCCCATGTTATAATGTAGTTTTCATAACCATCTTTTTCAGTGACTGCATAATAATTTCATTAAGCAGGTGCATTAACTTCTCGTAGTTGGACATTTAAGTGACTTCTGCTTCTACTTCCACTTTATTTTTAATAAATAAACATCAGGCTCATATCAAGATAAATATCCAGTGAGACTTGAGCAGAATCTCTCCTTTGACTGAAATAATGGCAAGTCGGCTCAAAGTCTCTTATAGACTAGTCGGCCTCTCACAGCCCTAGAAAACTAATAAAGAACCGAAGGAAATCATTCCCCCAGACTCTAGTTTAGACAAGAAGGATGAAAGATCGGGAGGGGGTGGATTCACGCTGCAATTGTTCCTGTAACATTCAGTTTCAAGGATGTGTTTGGATCTGTGACCCGTCCAAGTGACTATCAAAATAATCTTGGCTTTTTTGAAGGGTAGGTTTACAACCTAAAGCACATAATCGTAATTGTTGAAGTGACAAGTAAACTTTCTAGAACCATAAGAGAATGACCGTTCTGACCCTCAGAGAACCTAGTTCCTGGATCCAGATGCTCAGACAACAAAGGACCCAGGTGACATCTGTCAGCGCCCCGGATCTGTGGCAAGCCACGTCACATTCTGCCTGTGCATGGTGACTGTGACCTGGGCCTCTGGTTTTTTTTTTGTTTATCTTTTGGTTTTAAACTTAATATCTGTCAGGTGAGCTTAGCTCCCAGCAGTATACTCAGAGACCAGCCCTTCTTGGAATGCATGTAATGAAAAACGGAACCTTGTAAATTCATAGCCAGAAAGTTTTAGAGGTATTTTTAAAAAATAAATAAATAACTGAGGGTTCCTGCAGGTACCTTTCTAAAATAACCTTTATAGCTCTTGTGCTAAAACGAACCCGAGTGTTTAAGACTCAACCCATGACCTCCTCAGATACCATCTTCTCTCCCAGGTCCCTCACCATGGGACACACAGCTTCCTCTGGGGAGGAGGAAAGGCATTCTGCATATTAAGAACCAGACTGCAGAGCCCGACCAGCCTGGCTTTGATCCTCCGTTCGGTGCCTGGACAGAGAGCTCAGCCTCTCCAAGTCTCCCTTTCTCACCTTACTGTAGCTCTAATGCTGACTCAGGGTGGTTTCATGGGGATTCAGAGAGACGCTGTGACGACGCGTGTGGAGCACTTCACACCGTGTCGAATATACCAGCTGCTCAGCTATAGTGATTTTTCTTTCAGAAAGCTGGCTCTGCCCACGTGCTGTGATTCTTACTGCTTTCTGTGTGTAAGCAGATTTGTTGTTTTCTCTCAAGAAATGATTCATATGAAAGTGAGAGAGGGGCTGGGGAAAGAGACGCACCTGTCAGACAGGGCAGGCAGGAGGTGGAGTGAAGGAATGTTCCTTACGCTCCCACCACACTTTTTTTTTTTCTGAGTATATAAGGAACATGCATTCATCGTAATAGAAAAATTCAGAGAAGTGCAAAGCCAGAGATTATTTATTTGTGACGTTAAAAAGACAGCGAGTTTGTCCTCCAGAAAAGGTCTGTGGCTGATAGATGTTAGTCTGCATGTAAATGGATATTAACAAGTAGAAATCTAACTAGTCTGTACACCCCCTTTGCGCTGTGCATCCCCCACCAGGCATATCAGTCCGGTACTTCCCTGCAAGCTCTTCGGGCCAAGAAGAGACACTGGCTGATTGCACTGTCTGTCTTGTTGGGTTAGGATAATGGTAAAGGGATTGAATTTGCAATGAATTTCCGATATCAGGGCTGTCTTTAAAACATGGCTTCTTCTTTACATGAGGCTATAGGAAAGGAGAATTGGAAAGATGGTCGGGCTGGATGACTTTTTATCTGTCCATCTGCCCATCCATCCAGACAGGCAGTCACAACATTTATTAAATGTCTGCTTTTAACAGTCCCTTGGGTCACAGCTTCAGTCAGTGCTTTAAGTCACTATTCTAGGCACTGGGGATACACCGAGAACCAGACAGACATGGTCCTGCCCTCGTTGACTTTTGTTCTGCCAAGGACAAATCTGAGACAGCCTTTATTCTGTACACATAGACCACCCTCGACTGTACCATTAGATAGTGAAATTCAGCACCATTTAATTGGTTTTACAATTATTGTAAGACCTGAATTGTCTGAAAGGGTATTCAGCACCTGAACTCTTACACGCTTTTGCACCTCTGTAAATCTAGCAATTTCTCTGAGTTGAGGTGCATAGGAAACCTTGAGGGATGGGTCAGCCAACCCAGGAGTCACTGGTAGGAAAGAGATGCCCTAGGAAGTAAACAGATCTTGCAGAAACAGATCTACTTGGGAAACAAATCCTTCTGTCTTAATTAGGACCTCTCTCCCTGACTTGGCTGTGGGCTTCATTAAAGCTGTGTCTGGCTTGTTCACAGTTGCGTCCTCACAGGTACAATGTGATAGGTGCTCAGTAAGTGTTTGTTCATGAGGGAGAAAATATAAGACTCACCGCCTCACTAGGTGATGGTTACGGTGTCTTTTGTGAGCACAGGAGTATTTCCCATCTTGAGGAAGGAGTTCCAGCCAACATAATAAGACACGAAAAAGGAATTATAAGCATACAAGTGTTAGAAATAGATGAGAAAATTAATATTTGTGGAAGATTTGGTGATTTACCCCAATGATTGTCAACCTGGAGGGACTGTGCCCCCAGGGGACATTAGGCATTGTCTGGAGACCTCTTTGCTTGTCACACTGAAGGAGAGAGGGCTGTGTGCTACCATCATGTAGTGGGTAGAGGGCAGGGAGGCTGCTAAGCATCCTTCAGTGCACAGGACAGCCCCACAACCCAGAATGATCCAGCCCCAAATGTCACTAGTGCCAACTTGAGGGCATAACATTAATACCAGGAGGAAACTCACCAGCCTCAGTGGAAGGAACTCTCTCCAGTGAAGCTGAGCTGTTCCCACAGCCCAGATGTTGTCAGGGCGTTTCAGTCAGCGTGTTAGAGGCACGAGGAAGAGTAAGGCTTCTTTTCCTCAATCAGAGCGAGCACATCCTTTGGGGGTTGCATCTCTGAGGATTGCCCTGGGCTCACAAAGGACCACCAGCGCCAGGAGGTGGAGCTGTGCCACGCGGCTGCCCCTGGGGTCTCAAAGGCTTGACACAACTTCTAAGGGCTGATGGTGCCTCTAGTAAGGGAGTGTGTGTGCATGGGCTGACTCTCCATCTTTCCAACTTCTCCTCTTCTCAGAGCACCTCGGGCGGCCTCTTGGGCATTACCACGCATTGATACCATGTCTCCCCGTGTTTTTGTCCAGACTCCAATTCTAGGGTTTCAGAACCGCTTCGCAGCATCTTTCCTGAAATGCATTCAGACTCAGCCAGCAAAGACTTGCCCGGCCGCATTCTGTTGGATATGGACAATGACACAGAAAGTACCGCCCTGTGAGGAAAGCTGCCCCCGCCCTTGACCCCTTCCACCCTGGCGAGTGGAACAGGGGCAGGCAGACATTGATCTTCGCAGACCAAACAGTGAGAAGCTTTCAGTGGAGGGAAGAAGAAGGCCTTACCACGCAGGACTTGGCCTTCTCACAGCCCGAGGAGAGAGCGGAGGCTGACACTTAAAGCTGAATGACCTGTGTCTTGAAGAAGTTGGCTTTCTTTACATGGGAAAGAATCATGCCAAAACAAACAAACAAAAAAAACAGAAAGAAGAAATACCTAGAGCAGAAAGAGTACCATTGCCGAGATGTGCAGGAAGCTTTTGTCACCGCTGTTAACACAGACGATACCAGCGGCAACTTGGAATGAATGAAAAGCAACGCGTTAACTATCTATTTAATAAAATGCATCCATTACGCAAGTCGCCTCTTTCCTGCTCCTGGGACTTTCATTCTTATGTATCACAAGGGAGGTCCCCGTCCTTCCGACTTGCTGCAGAATCATTTTGTATGAAGTATGTTCTGTGTCTCCCCGACCCTGTCAGAACCACGAGCATCGGTGGTGACTGCTGGATCCGTCACCTCAGCAAACTGGAGTGCCTGTGCCTTGTTGGATTGTCAGAATGTAGCAAGAAATGTACTGTTCTTTTTTTTTTTTTAAACAATGTAATTGCTACTTGATAAGGACCGAATATTATTTTAGTTTCATGTTTAATTTGAATTAAATATATTCTGTGGTTTATATGAAAACGTTATCCTTCTTGGAGGCAAAGCTGTGGAGTGTGTGTGTGTGTGAGTGTGTGTGCATGTGCGTGTTGTCACTTCACTAAACAGAACTGTGATGGGACCTGTGAGGGTCCAGTTGTGACTGTAGAAGTTTGAAAGACTGGAGAGCAAGGTTGCAGCGTGAAACCAGCCTCCCGGGTGCCCCAGAGACCTCCCAGACTGGCTGTCTCTCAGCGAAAGTTCCGTGGGTGAGGCTTCTCCTCTGCTCTCACCAGTCCTGATCCTCTTTCTTGTCCAGAGACGCTTGTCTTGTCTAGAAACACTCAGATTCCCGGAGACCAACTCCCAGTAACTCAGCCCCACAACCTCATTGCAGGAGCCAGAGCATCCCTTATCGGGGGAGCTCCCTCTTCCAGTCTTCTTTCCCAGGGCTGAAATACTTGGGAAGAGTGTGGGGGGCATTGGAGCGAGGTGGGGCTGATGGTCTGGACGGCTGTTCTGGTGACAGCCCCTCTCCGTGGCCCAGGTTTGGCATCTTCTCTTGGGACACCTGCTGCCATGTTGGTGGCTGAGCGGTTGAAGTGATGGACTTGCTTGCTCGGTGCATCAGTGACCTGTCCCTTGCCTAGAAGACCCTGGACTTCCTTCTGCTGTGAGTTGACTTAAGTTTGATCTTGAAAAGGGCAGCCACTTTTTCCTCTTGAAGTTTCCTGTACCCCAAAGACCTCCCTGCTCTTAGTGATTACATTGAAAATCTGTACCTATAAGCCCATTTCCCCCTATAATCTTTAATTTGTGTTTTGCTGAAGACTCACTTGTTGCTGCCTCCTGCACCATCCCCGTGCTGTTCTCTTTCTCTACCCGCCCCCTTCATCTATGGAACAAGCCAAACCCTGTAGAGAAGGCAAAGGTGTCGGTGTCTGTCGCCCGTAAGCGTTGACCCCTTCTTCAAGGAGCCCAGCTGCCCACAGTCAGGCGTCTCCGCAGCACCGTGGAGAGGCCTCCCCCACGATGCCTGGGCTCGCAGCGGCAGGAAGGGGGGACACGGCGCTTGCTGAGGAGATGGCGTTGGTGCCTGGAGACAGGGAAAGTCCAAGATGAACGTCCTCCCCAGAGTGCAGCATGTGTTTTATCACTGATTCTGAACTAAAACAGCCAATGCCCTCATTATTTTAAGAATGGTGTTCAGTTTTCACTCCCCTGTTGTTTGTAGCAGCCTCCCTACCTCAACAGCTCCAATCTAAAGAAAAATGAAACTTAACTTGACTCCTACCGGTGTCAGTGGCTACCCTCCATCTTCCTGGACGGACGAGTCATGGTGTGGGACTCGGCGGCTCAGCGCGTGTTCAAAGCTGTAGTTGCATCACAGTTGGAAGCACCTCCCCGCTGCTGCAGAGCCGTGGTGACCGCTGCTGGGGAAGTCGCCACGCTGCTGTCACCTTGCCCTGGCACTACACTCAGTGGAGCCTCTTTTCACCAGACCCACCCTCCGCGAGGTCAAGGAGTCTGTCCTCTAAACTCATGGCGGCCATTCCTGACCATCAGGAGGGTGCTGTGATGCTGGGATCTGCCCCCTTCACGTTGTCTCCTTCCCTTCTCCGCAGAAAAGTTCTCATAGAAAGTCCAGTCCCATGTGCTCAGGCCTTCCGCTCCCGCTCCCCCGCCTGCGGCTGCCCCAGGGCCGTGGACCTGCTCCTCTCAGCACCCACACCTTGCATGTAGCACCCATCCAGCCTGTTCTTGGTCCAGCGTTTTGGAGACTGCAGGGGGTCAGAGCATCCCTTGCTGTGTTCGCCTCTGTGAATTCCCAAGAGTCAGTTGCAGTTGGAGTGACTGAATTCTTGGGCTTTCTTGATGGCCCTGGCTCCCTTAGGAGCTCCATGCTGGGCTCCTATCCTCCTCTTGTGGCTCCAGCTCCCAGTGCCCCCCAGAGCCCAGTGAGTCCCACAAATGCCCATATTTGAAGGTCTTAAACCCTCCTTGTAGCTTCTCTGCCTGTGATCTGTTCCTGCCACCTGCACGGCAGACCCAATGGTCTGTAACCGTATTTCAGAGCCTACACCTTCTCACAGTTGCTGCTCTACCGTCTCTACTCCCGGGTCCCAAGTGGTCTCTGACTCACAGTCTGGTCTTGCATCAGCTTGGGTAGCACCTCACTGATGGGTTTTTTTCAGATCAGTGGCTTCCACTTTTCTAATATCAGAGTGATGGAGCCAAGGAGGAAAGATCTGCTGGTATGGCGAAGCCACTGGCTTTGAGGCAACCAAAAGGCCAAAAAAAAAAAAGCTGCCAGCCTAGGGGAACAGGGCATGGGGTGGTGCAGAGTTGGGGCACCTTCTCTGGAAGCCACTTTTAGATATGTCTGTAATCCACCCTTCCTCCCGTAACCCATCCACATCACTGAGGCCATTCTGCATTTCCTGCCCTGGTACCTTCACGACAAATACCCTTTTTTGCATAAACTTTCTTGGGTTTGTCTCTGTTGCTTGCAACCAAATCACTCCTATTTGATACACTCCCCAAAAGAGGCTAACAGAGGCTGTCCTCTTCCGCCCACCCTCAGGCACAGAGCTGTCCAGACCCCTCCTTGCAGCTCTGCAGGCAGACTTCCCTCTTCCCACATCTCCCCACCCAGCTTCACCCCTCACAGCCACCCAGGCATCCATAAACCACACACACCTTCCGTTATCTATTGCTATGTGACGAGTGACCACAGACTCAGCAGCTTTAAACAGCATACGTGTATTGTCTCATAGGGTCAGGCGGGAGTCCAAGCACAGCTTAGCTGGGTCCTCTGCCTGGATCCCACACGGCTGCCATCAAGGTGTCAGGCAGGGCTGCGGTCTCATCTGGAAGTCTGACTGGGGAAGAACCCACTCCTAATCTCCCTCAGGTTGTCAGAATTCATGTCCCCGTTGTTGTAGGGCCACACGCTCTGAGGGACCTGGCTTCTGGCTGGCCATCATCTGAAGGCTGCCCTCAGCTCCTTGAGAGCTCCTGCATTTCCTGGTCATGTGGGCTTCCCCAGTGGGGCTGCGACTTCAGCCAGCCAGCAAGGACAGCCTCTCGAGTGAGTCTGCTAGCAGGACAGTTTCCATGCTATGATACAATCACAGGCTGACATCTCATCACCTTTACCATATTGTACTGGCTAGAAGCCAGTCACAGTTTCCGTCCACACTCAAGGGGTGGGGGGGATTACACAAGGGCATGAACACTGGGAGGTGGGGATCATTGAGGGTTACCTTGGGGGTCTATCCTCCACACACATCAAAATATCATTACAAGGAAGCTATATCATTATATCTCAGTGGTAGAGCACATGCTTAGCATGCATGAGGTCCTGGGTTCAAACCCCAGTACCTCCATTAAAACATTTTTTTTAATTTAAAAGGACAGTAAAAAATATTACAAATGACACATGTCAGGGTAGACTTGAGCCAAATATATATAATATATTTTTATTGAAGTATAGTCAGTTTACAATGTTGTGTCAGTTTCTGGTGTACAGCACAATGCTTCAGTCACACATGAACATACATTCATTCATTTTTATGTTCTTTTTCACCATAAGTCACTACAAGATGTTGAATATAGTTTCCTGTGCTATACAGTATAAACTTGTTGTTTATCTATTTTATATATATTAGTATCTTTTGAAAGAACCAAAACAAAAATTTATCAGGGTTCTGTTTTTACCCTCTATCCTTGTATTTGAATTCAGTTTTCCTACACATGAAGCAATTATTTGAATGACCAGAAATTTTTTTAATGTCATTTCATGGTAGAAATAGCATTTTTGCTTTCACACAAGGATGCTCAGAATTGAAGCCATGTCTTAAAAATAATTTCTATGTTTCCTCCAGGTGAATATAGAGGGCTTACTCTTCCAAACACTGGCCTAGACCCTGGGGAACCAACCTGAACCCTACAAACGTGGCCTCAGCCCCCAGGAAGCTTGCAAACAAATACCCAGGAAACAGGGAGAGACTGCAGAGATGGCAGGAGCCAGAAGAGCCCATGGGAGGAAGGCCATCTTGATGGAGATGGAGAGGAAGGCAAGCACTCCAGATGCTAGGAATGGCTTGTGCTGCAGGTGTGAGGTGAGTGCATGGAAGCAGATGGGGAGGCAGGCAACAAGGCTGGGGAGGTGAGGAGGAGCTGGAGTATGAAGGACCTGACACCCCGTGTTTGGAAGTCATGCAGGGGAGGAGGCTGCTGTTGACAGAGGAGGAGATTGATGGTCGGATTTGTATGATGATCTGCAGTGCAGAAAATGGATGGAGTCGGGGCAAGACTAGAAGCAGGGACCCCTGAGAGAGGAGCCGGTGGGGCCCCTACTGAGGCAGAGGCAGTGGACCAACGAAGACGTTGTCCAGGAGGCAGAGTCCACACGACTTGGTGATTGATCATGGGCCTTTCCCAAAGGTGAGAGCTGGTCCTGAGGGCAGCCTAGCAATCATCGTTTATGGTCAAGGAAGTCTTGGACGTTGCATCATTTCCAAAGGGCAGAGGACAGGTGATAGATCAGCCAGTCACCTCCATGAGCTCAGACCTCAAGGCCTGAGCTGGTGCAGGAAGGGTGGGTGTTCCTTGGTCATAGGTACCTGGGCAGGGGTGGGCAGCCAGGCCGGGTAGGGTGGCTGCTGGATCTGAGACAAGCAGCCAGACACCTGTGTTCTGAAGGTCTTCCATTCGCCAGGCTGTGCCAGGCATCGTTGCAAATGATGCCTGCCCTCATGGAACTTTTTGTCTAGTTGGGAAGATGGTTAAGCCATCAATGATAAAGTGTGATCATGCTTTGAAAGTTCCTGTCAAAGTGGGTGTGGGATGACCAGGAAGGCTTCCTGGAAGAAGGGATGTTCAATCAGTGACTAGAATAGGAGTTAGCCAGAAGAGGAAGCGGGGATGGTTTAGGCAGAGGGAAGAGCAGAAGCAAAGACCTATTTGTTGCCTATTTATAACCATACGTATGAGGCCCACTGGATGTCAGCCACTGTACCAGGCCCAGGGGTGGGACAGCGTGAGCATGGGCTGACCCTAGAGTGCGAAGGGAGAGTCGTCAGAGTTGAAGCTGGAAAGAGGCCTGACCATCAGGGGTGTTGAAATTCCCACCCAGCAGTGTGGACTTCATCCCGGGAGTAAGTGGAGAAGTGGCTTGCTCAGCTTTGCTCTCTCTGCCTAAGGCTGGAGAGTGGGCCAGACTAGAGGCAGAAAGACCAGGAGGCTGGTGGCAGTGAGCCAGGGGCAAGGTGGCAGTGGCCTGAGCTACTGCAGTGACAGCTCCCATCAAAACGCACTTCTCACCCCAAGCAGCTGCAGCAGAGGTCTTGGTGTGGGCGGGGGGCTGAGGGCCAACTTGGGGAAACCTCCCAGGCCTCCCACTCCCCACCTTTGGCCCTTGAGAGGGTCACTCTGCCTCCTCTGGAGCCCACTTGCCCCAGACGCCAGCTCAGTCTCTTGCCCAGAGCCAGTTTTAGGTCTGGATAGCAGCCGCGTTAGCCAACAGCTGCCCACACAGGTCCTTTCCTAGGAGGACTGAGGGGCCTGGTCCAGCCCACAGCTGTCATTTGGGCCCGTGGGGAAAAGCCCGGCCTCTGACAAGGATAGGTGTCGAGGCTTTACCCTTGGACCAGGCTGGACCAGGTGTTGAGCTCATCAGATAGGAGGAACTCAGAAGATACCCTGAATGACGGGGTGAGCCAGTGGCTCCTCAGCCCCAAGGTTTCCCAGCCATGCTTTTTTGAAGTCTGGGCTTCCTTAAGTCGTCAGGCCAGCGAGTGGTTCTAACCCACTCCAGCAGCCCTGCTAATCTCAGGACTAGAATAACATCTCAGGGCGCTTGGCTACCCCAGAGATGGTCTCAGGGATGATTCTGCTGACCTGCGCTTGCTGCTTTCAGCTGTGCATGTGGTACCCACAACCCCTACAGTTCATTCCATCAGACCCCATCAGGGCCCGGAACAGAGACATTCGGACGGACAGCTCTATATGGAACAGGATAGCTGCTCTCCAGGTCATAAGCCCCATTGCCCCTCGTCCAGCAGTGACTCATTGTGGAGCTGCCCGGCCTGGCTTCTCATTTTAGGGAAGCATCATTGTGTGACATCAAGCAGAGAAGCCCAGGCTGAGGCAGAACTTGGGATGGGCACATCGTTCCCCGATTTCCTCATGGCACAGGATTCCAGGGCACCAGCTCAGGTCTACTTTCCAGAGATTGTAATGAGGAGCAGGCTTCACAATGAGAAAATCTTTGGGGACCTACTCTTCCTTTACCCAAAGCCAGCAACAGTGAAAGGTGGGAGACAGGATGCAGCTCCCACTCCCTGCACTTGGAAGGTGAGTTGGGGAGGGTTCAAGTCCTCACACTCAGCCCAGGAGATGTGGCTCCTGGGGGCCTGGGAGTCTCTTTGCTTGTCTGTTCCTTTGAATTTGGTTGTTGATGTTACACGATGGACAGGAAGAATGAAAAACTAGCCTTTTGAGACATGGAAGGTGTATGCTTCTCTTTTTCCAGCTTCTAACCTTCATTCTCTTTTCAGAAGAAAAGGGCTAAACATCATGTTGAAAATGGCCCAAACATATATCCAGAGGAAGCGCTAATTTAAAAAGACACCTGCACCCCACTGTTCATAGCAGCACTATTTACAATAGCCAATACATGGAAACAGGCTAAATGTCCATTGACAGATGACTGGATGAAGAAGATGTGATGTATATATACAATGGAAAAACTACTCAGCCATAAAAAAGAATAGAATAATGCCATTTGCAGCAACATGGATGGACCTGGAGATCATCATTCTAAGTGAAGTAAGTCAGAAAGAGAAATAAAAATACCATATGATATCACTTATACATGGAGTCTAAAAAAAAAAGTCAAATGAACTTATTTACAAAACAGAAATAGACTCACAGACATAGAAAACAAACTTATGGTTACCAGGTGGGGACGGGGGGTAGGAAGGAATAAATTGGGAGTTCAAGATTTGCAGATACTAATATATATAAAATAAGTAAACAGCAAGTTTCTACTGTACAGCATAGAGAACTCTATTCAATAGCTTGTACTAACCTATAATGAAAAAGGATATGAAAAGGAATATATGTATGTATATGTATGACTGAAATATTGTGCTGTACACCAGAAATTCACACAACATTGGAAATTGACTATCCTTAAATTAAAAGGAAGGAAGGAAGGAAGGAAGGAAGGGAGAAAGAGAGAAAGAAAGAAAATAGCCCATAAACACTTTTGAAGCCTCGTGGTAAACAAACAAAGCTTTATTATTTTTTTCCCATCATTAAAAAAATCAGGGCACTGAAAACAAACTGAGAGCTTGGACCCCCGGGTCCACCCCACGTTAAGCAAAGTAGCCCCAGAGGAAGACGGCACAGCTGACGCAGACGATGAGGTTGACGTCCAGAAGGGTTTTCACCAACGGAGTTTCTTCCAAGGACACTATGACAGGGTCCGCCCTGCTCGGGGGCCCCTCCTTGCCCTTGCTGTCCACTCCACAGAGCCACAGGATGGCTTTCACCACTTTGGACCGCTTTTGGGTCATGTCACCTAAAAAGAACCCAGCAAATAAAAAGGTCATGAGGATGGGCTGTGTCTCCCAGACAAGAGCGAAGAGAGACCAACCAGGTGTGTCTTCCAGACACTGTGATAAATGCCTTATGTTTTACAATTGTGTGTTTTCTGGAAGGTATTCATTAATACCTTAATTCCGGAAGACTGTTTTGTTCTGGAAGATCAGTATTTTCTGACTTTTCACCATTTTCAGAATTTCAGGTGAAGGGGTAGAGGCTCAGACTCATTCGAGTGAAGCCACACCGCTGCTGAGCAGCGGCAGAGGTGGGTTTAGGACCAGTTCTATCTGACTCCCTCCTCTCGGGCGCACTGCCTGCCAGAAGGCTGACCTGGGCACCCTTGTGGGAAACTCTTTCTCCATCAAGAGCTGGGGCTGCAAAGTCAACTGCCTATGGAACCGACAGGTAGGGGATCGGAGTCCAGGTAGCTGATTTGCCAACTAAACATTTCGAAATATTCTTCACCTCTACCAGGAAAGCTCCTCTCTCTCATTTTCCTTGGAACACATGCCCTTCTAGATCTATCCCTGGGTTTCCCACTTTGGGATGACATGGGTTCACATCCACAAGTAGTTTTTTTTAAAGCCATGTGTGATGATTAATAATAACTACAACCTCGGGGTTGTGGAGACAGTAGGGACTGGTGGGGACCTTGGCTAAATGCACATCCCAGTTCTAAGGAACAGCTGCTTTACAGCTCCAGACAATTTTGCCTGCATGGGTTCCGTGTTGCCAGATCTTCCAATTTTTCAAGAGAAGATGGAAATCTGGAGTGTTATATGAAATCTCCTGATTTTTAAATAACTCATGTTTTATTAAAATAGTAGGTGGGTTGAACCAAACTAGGTCTACAAGCTGGCAGTTTAAAAGCAGTCATTTAGAGAACACCAGAATTACACCCACCTGCCACAGTTCTAGTAGGCACTCCACAAGCCTTGGCTATCACTGCCCACCGGAGGCGTCTGTTACCAACCTTTCCAGTGGCCACAGAGTGAAGAAGGACCAGACCCTGGGAGTCAGGAGATGCAAAAATTCCAAGTCTGCCCCTTTTCCCTTTTCTGGCTTGTGATCTGATGGGAAAACGTCCCCTTAAACATATGATGCTCCTACTGTAACTGAGGAGCATGGCAACTCACTGCTGTGGGGTTTAGACGTGCTTTCTTGAACCATCTCAAACTGGATATTGGTGCTGCCGGCCTCTGACGTCCCATTCTGGGAGAGGGTGGGAGGCAGCGGAGTTGCTGGTGACACCTGTTCCTTCTGGACCACGGGGTCATGGCGAGTAAACCAGGTCAGGCGACTGACCTAGGAGCAGAGGTGAATTGTGGTTGAGGAGTGGGCTGGAGACCATCATCCCTTCCTTCCATTGCCTTCCAACACAGAGCTCAGACTTCACATCCAAGCCTGTCCCCCAAGCTCACCCTCCAACTCCACCCTCTAATGAGTTTCTAGTCCCCGCACTCTTCAGAATCAATGGACATTTCCATCTTTCTTCCACACAACTTTAATTCCCCTGTTGGGATCCCACCCGCCCTCATTCTAGTCCCCAGAGCTTAACCCTAGCCCTTGGGTGTTGTGGGATCCAGCAATCAGCCATTCAGCTGACTCATTTCTCTGGCCACAAGGATTAAGCTGATTCAGTGTGTCCTGAGCTGACTCCATCAATGGGAATTAGGAACTTTACCGGAAATGCTGGGACAAAACTGCTTATGCTTTTGCTTAATGAGGTTAAGAAAGCATGAGGGGGAGGGGTGTAGCTCAGTGGTAGAGTGCATGCTTAGCATGCACGAGGTCCTGGGTTCAATCCCCAGTACCTCCATTAAAAAATAAACAAATAAAATCTAATTAGCACCCTCCCCCCTCCCCCCAAAAAAGACCAAACAAAAAACAAAAAAGAGAGGATGTAATCCTAGAAGCTGCTGGCCCCACGTGGGGCCTGAGACTAGAAGCAGAATAGAGACACAGATTCTGATGGCCTTTTCACTGTCCTGAAATCAAGTCCTTCCTAAAACCCAGCCCTGGACTTTTCAGCTTTTTGAACAATCAGCCCTTTTCACTTAAGTCACGCGGGTTGTTTTCGGTCACTAGCAGTGAGGGGTCCCAACAGATATATAGCATCACACCCAGATGTACCATCTCCTTGGAGGGCGGCTCTGTGAACCAGCTCACGGTGGACACGGTGATCAGCGTGACCCCGGACAGAATCATGGAGAAGTAGAGGTAGTGGACACCCTTCACCACAGCTGGGCGATCATCTGGCTGGTCACACCGAGGCTGCACGTAAATGAAGTCCAGGACCAGGCGAACCAAGCCTAGGAGAAGGCCCACGATGAGACCTGAGAAGGCGCCCTGCAAAGCAGAGGGAGGCCGTCTTAGACCCGTGCAGGGCCTCCACACACCTCAGCAAGCCCTGTCCAGACTTCGTCCTTCAAGTGACAGTCACCGCAGGGGTCAGTGATTTGAAAAGGGTTGGAGCTACTTTTTATGTTTCACATATAATTAGTCAATTACATATCATTCTCTGTTGATTCAGCTACCCTATTTAATGAAAAGAATGCATCAAAATAGAACCCCTCATTGCTATTTTTTTTAAACACCCTCTATGTATCTCCTACATAGAACTCATCCCCCTCCAATGACACCGAGTCAAGACATCCTCATGTCTTCTCTCCGGTCACCTTCTCTCCCATCTTCATGGGCTGAGGGGCTGATCCAGAGCTACCTTTTCATTGGTCCGCTTCCAGAAACATCCCATGATGAAGATCACGGCCACGGGCGGCTGCAGGTAGGAGCTGATGGACTGGATGTAAATGAAGAGTTGGCCACCCTGGCTGGCCTGGACCACAGGGATCCAGAGGATGGAGACCAACACCAGAAGCAACACAAACACCCTAGTGCCGGATGGAGAGAAACCCCCCCATTAGTGCTGTCTTCTCTGAACGGTTCTCTTTTTTATACAGCTTTATTGAGGTAGAATATTATATACCATAAGATTCGCCAATTATAAGTGTACAATCCAGTAACTTCCAAGGAATTTATAGAGTTGCACAACCATCACTATAAGCAAGTATTAGAACATCCATCACTCCAAAAAGTCCCCTCATGCCCATTTATAGTTGATTCCTGTTCCCACCCTAAATAAGCTTCTGTCTCTACAGGTTTGGTTTTTTTGGACATTTCACATAAATGGTATCATACAATATACGGTCTTTTGCAGCTGGCTTCTTTCTCTTAGCAAGTCTTTGAGTTTCATCAAAGAGGGAGGGTATAGCTCAGTGGTAGAGCTTATGCTTAGCATGCACAAGGTCCTGGGTTCAATTCCCAGTACCTCCATTAAAACAAACAAAACAAAGCAAAAAAACCTTGAGTTTTCTCACAGATCATGTATCAGTATGTCATTCCTTTTTATTGTTGAAAAATATCCCATTGCGTGGATATGCCATCACATACTACTGTTTCTCTTTCACCTGTCAGTGGCCACTTAGATTGTTTCTACTTTTCAGCTGTTGT